TTCCAGCTGTGGGCAGTTTGGCAGCAGATCGCCTTGCATTGGTTTCAACAGACTTATGAATAGCTGACTGTTCGGGAAGTAATGGCAGCAGACTATTGAACTAGTAGAACCAAAACAGCCAGTAAATGCTGGGGTTGGTTCCGCAATGTCCTGTGAAGAATATGCAACTAAGTCATTAAATTATGAAGGGACCCACCCACACTCACAGTCTACTGTCACATTGGTCATGCTTTCAAATCTTTCAGCAAATATCTTGGCTCTCAGTACAGCCCAACCTAAGAATTAGTACCAGGAAATTTCTTAGGAAGTAAAGTCAGCAAGCCTGATGTTTACCCTATCAGACACATTAGTGTCCCAAAGGCATTAACATATGACCACATGCTTAAAACACCTCAGTTCATGAAAATGGGGTCCTTACTTTTTGTTTAACTATATTATCCTTGACTTTTTTGTTTAAATTTAACTCTGTTATTCTTGACTTTTTTGTTTAAATTTAACTCTGTTATCCTTGACTTTTTTGTTTAAATTTAACTCTGTTATCCTTGACTTTTTTGTTTAAATTTAACTCTGTTATCCTTGACTTTTTTGTTTAAAGTAAACTCTGTCCTTGACTTTTTTGTTTAAAATTAACTCTGTTATCCTTGACTTTTTTGTTTAAAGTAAACTCTGTTATCCCTGACTTTTTTGTTTAAAGTTAACTCTGTTATCCTTGACTTTTTTGTTTGTTTAAAGTTAACTCAGTTATCCTTGACTTTTTTGTTTGTTTAAAATTAACTCTATTTTATTAGATTTTTTTTTTAAAGTTAACTCTGTTATCCTTGACTTTTTTGTTTAAAGTTTACTCGGTTATCCTTGACTTTTTTGTTTAAAGTTAACTCTTGTTATCCTTAACTTTTTAATTTAAAGTTAACTCTGTTATCCTTGACTTTTTTGTTTAAAGTTTACTCGGTTATCCTTGACTTTTTTTGTTTAGAGTTAACTCTGTAATCGTTTACTTTTTGTTTAGCTTTAACTTTGTTACTTTGTTTGCTTATCTTTACCTTTTGTTTACTGTATTATCCTTACTTTGTCACTTAAAGCTAACCGTTAAACTTTACTGTTTGCTTCCCCTTTGAGTTGTGGAGAAACAAGAACAGACCCATTGCACCCTAACTGACATGTTGTAATAGATGACTGATCTTCAAAGTCAAGAGTGCATCTGTCTGAGTGGTGAGGGATCAACTGTCTGTATACAAAAAAGTCACATGTGTAAAAACGATATGCGTGCAAAGCTCAGGTTCTTTAGCAAGACTAAACTCCGGTAGTGGACAAAGAACCAGAACTTTCCCCAGAGTTTACGGCCAGTGGATGTAAAGAAAATGAAGGCTGTTTAAGTTAGCTCTGTTATGCTGCTACTTATCAGTGTTTGCAGTGTAGTTAACTCAAGACAAATATAAACAAAGCACAAATGTTTTTACCTTGTCTTACTAATGAGCCTGCCCCTTTGTGATCATTCCCTACACCTGATATGATCATTCCCTACACCTGACATGATCATTCCCTACACCTGATATGATCATTCCCTACACCTGATATGATCATTCCCTACACCTGATATGATCATTCCCTACACCTATGATCATTCTCTACACCTGATATGATCATCCCCTAGACCTGATATGATCATCTCCTACACGTGATATGATCATCTCCTACACCTCATATGCTCATTCCCTACACATGCTATCATCATTCCCTACACATGCTATCATCATTCCGTACACCTGATATACTCTTTCCCTATACCTGATATCATCATTCCTTACACCTGATATCAACCTTCCCTACACCTGATATGATCATCCCCTACACGGGATATGATCATCCCCTACACGTGATATGATAATTCCCTACACGTGATATGATCACCCCCTACAACTGATATGATAATTCCCTACACCTGATATGATCATCCCCTACACCTGATATGATCATCCCCTACACCTGATATGATCATTCCCTACACCTGATATGATCATCCCCTACACGTAATATGATCATTCCCTACACCTGATACGATCATTCCCTACACGTGATATTCCCTACACCTGATATGATCATCCCCTACACATGATATGATCATTCCCTATACCTGAAATGATCATCCCCTACACCTGACATGATCATTCCCTACACCTGATATGATCATTCCCTACACCTATGATCATTCTCTACACCTGATATGATCATCCCCTAGACCTGATATGATCATCTCCTACACGTGATATGATCATCTCCTACACATGATATGATCATTCCCTATACCTGATATGGCCTTTATGGAGTTAAAATGTCCACATACATTTAACAAAATGAATAACTAGGATGTGTTTTATATTTGTGGACCATAGGTATTGTTTGTAAACTATAATTTTCCTCCCTCAACCGCTTGTCTTCGTCAACCCGGGATGTGCAATAGAAACAATATGTGATTGGGATTTCATGTCTATTTATGTGACATGTGTCATACATACCATGCCCTGTGGCAGAATAAATGTTGCTGCCGACATGATTCTGTTGTTGTGATTTGTTGTAGATCAGTTCTGATAAGACTAGTGGGTTATATTGTGTACAAAGTAATATTTTAGTTTTGAAAGTCTGTGTTGACTTGTAGTTTGTGTTTGTATGTGCAGTTTTAGTTTCATTTTGAAAATCTATAAATCAGTAAAAGCTTGTATTCCACAGTAAAAAAAACCAAAAAAAAACACAACACGTAAAACATTTGGTCGCAGTAAACTACATAATGCTTTTTTGTTTGTTTGTTAATAAAAGCCATGTTGGAAGCAAAAGGTCGAAGGTAGGTATCATAAGGTAGGCACACATTATCCCCCTGTGGATTTTAGAGCTGTGTTTTTTGTAAGGGGGCCATAGCTGTAAACCACAACGCAGCATGCCAACCACCCATTTGAAGATATATGCCCCCCCCCCCCCCCAAAAAAAAAATATGCAAAAGAAGAAGATATAAACGTAGCATTAGAGCATGCACACATTAAACAGGCATCTGATTTAAATATCTTGGAACAACATTCACTGAAGATGGTAAATTGGGCGAAAAAACTGACATCCGATGCAGTAAAGCAGGCTAGGTACTAGGACAGCTAGCCCCCCTCTTACAGTATAAGGCAATCCTAATCAGCACAAAGAGATATCTCATAACTAAGTATATTCATTCCGACCTTATGCTACCAGTGCCAGACGTGGTCATTCACAACAAAACATCAAAGACAATGTATGGGTGTGTACACAAAATAAGCACAAAGACATGGCTGACATTTTCTACCACCATAACCATGGGGATGTTTAATGTTTCCCAAATCAAACTACAATACAGTGTCACAATTAAAATACAAACATTTACTTGATTAATAACTGGAAAATTACAATGGCTACAAAACACATTTCCTGGCAAATATTTAGAGAGGAAGGGCGATGAGTAGAGGAAGTGGCTACCTCACCTTGAATACTATGGCCTAGCATATGTGAAGGTTTCACACTTCAACCTTCAGTAACAGCTAATAGATTACCTCAACCATATGATATTTAACCTTTCCTCTTCAATCATCTAGAGCAGGGATGGGCAAACTATGGCCAGGGGGGATCTAAACTGACCCTCAAGGGTGGAATATCACTAAATAATCTGCCTTACCCTTCCTCCCCAACTTTCCCTGTTATACAATTTCTGCAAATAACCAGCTTGAAAAGACAAATTTAGGAATATATAGAAGAGCTTCAGTTCAGTGGGTGAGCCTGTCTGGCCAGAGGCATAGCGAGGGATTATGATCCTAAATTATCCCACACAGATATCATTTTGCAATGAAACCTGGGTGTTATGGTTATAATAGCATTTTTAAATATGGCCTACGGCCATTTTAATTATTATAAATTTGGTCTGCAGATTAAAAAAAAAAAGTTGCCCATCCCTGACTGAGACCAATAATAAAATCATCAATCATAATAACAGTAATCAACAACGATAAATTCAAATATATAGGCCTCAAAGAAACATGTTGTATTCAGAGCACACCAGGAATGTCCGATCCAGGAGATTAACCCAGATCGCAGATCAGGACTTCACTGGTCAGGATCTTGGGACATTTCTCCACGGATTATTTCTCAGACTTAGTTCTCAGTCTGGCTTCTAGAATCATCATGCAATGTGATCGTTTCAGGCAATCTCAGATGTGGCAAACTTCTGTTTAGAAAAACAATTTATGCTTTGCAATTTTTCTTGCGTTGTCCTATCTGGATAAGAGGAATTTCTGATAAGAAGAACCATATCTTTGGTCCCCCGGAGAGTTCTCCCCATCATGCCTGCATTATACCACTGCAAGTGTGTGTTGCTAAAGTGTTGGTTTTGCAGACCCCAATGGAACACTGAGTTCTGCAACAGTTTCTTTGGAGTTAATACTCTGGTAGCAGACAGACAGAAACAAATCTCTTCAGGACAAACGATCTGAGACATATGAAACCAAATGTTGGGAGGGTAGGCAAGGAGCCTGAAAGAGATTGTGGCCTCACTAGAGATTATTCTCATCATCTTCTTAGTGTCGACCGGCTGTAAACTCCAATGGAAAGTTCTGGTTGTTCATCCACTTCTGGACATTAGTCTTCTTCCAGAACTTGAATGTTGTGTGCAGGTCTGTTTTACAGATCTGCTTTTTTTGTATGCAGCCTATTGGTTTTCACCTCTCAGGCACTCTAAGAGGAGGAAAAATCCTGAGTTAGTCACCTTTTACAGCATTCTTGATAGGAAGGGAGTGGGCCTAACACCCCCCCCCCCTCCCCCCCGAGGGCCTCGGAGGCCGCACAGCAAATTTCCAAAGACACCGGTGGCACACAACTTTTATTTTTCAAATGCAAAGAGCTGCAGGAGACCACATGGGACAAAGGATAAACAACAAACTACACAATAATGATGCTAAATAAGAACCCTAGAATAAATCTAAGCCAATTCGTGATAACTAAGCCACAGCAGTGGCCAGGATCTCGGATACACTCGGATCTGTTGACCTCACTGTCAGCTGCATGGTTACCCCTGACGTATCCAAGGCCAGTTTGGCTCTCACCAAGGCGTCATGTCCTCCTCGAAACACCCCGGCCAGGTAAAGTGTGTGAGAGCTCTTGCCTTCGCCCACCTTGTCTGAACGCTCGCATGGCTGCAGGCCCATGTACTGGATTATGTTTTTGATGGCCTCTGTGAATACGACAAATGGAATTATATTAAATCAAAATATTTTGAGCACGGTAGAAGGAGAAATCAAAACTGACTGACATCTGACAAACATGACAAGACAAGAGGAAGACCAAGAAATAATCATAAACAGCAAAGTGCCTAACTGGCTTAGCTACACAGTATAAGTGAGACGAGAAATAAGTGAGACAAGAACACAGACCTGATCCAAAACTGGTCACCATGTAGATGGGGAATTAGGATTTTTCGCATGCCTAAGAACAGGGTACATTATGATCTTATTCACTATCCTCTTGTGCCATTCTATGTCTCACATGACTTACAGTCTTTTCCTCCATTCTGTGATAACCTGTGCAATCACTTGCATACCATAGATGGAACCCAGTCCAGCACCTGTGGCTTCTCTCATCAACGCTCACCAAAGGATTTTTTCTTGGATGTCCTTATTTTCCCAGTCCCTCTATTTCCTATTTCAGTGCCTGTCTGTTGATTCTCTACTCGTTTCTTCTCAGTAGTATGTGTCCAGTATAGCGTCATCTTCTCTGTCTTACAACTGTTGATACTAGTGGTTGCACCGACATGTCTCTTATTTCTTCACCCTCTTGAATTCATCCCAGTTTATGTTCATCATTTTCTGCAGGCAACTGTTTCTGAGTGCATTTAACTTTTGTTGCATGTCTTTAGTGGTTCCCCACACTTTTATGGTCATATGTTAACAATGCAATAACATGACAATAGAAAATATGTTATCTGGTTCTAAAACTTGACAATTCAGAGTTCTGTATTTTGTTCAAGCCTTTAAGAACTGCTGATGTCTTGCCGATGTGTGTCATAATGTTGGTATTACATAAAGTAAAGCCATGGACAGTGGAACACATAAGCTTTACGGACAGACAGAGACAGAGAGAGAGAGAGAGAGCAAGAGACAAAGAGAGAGAGAAAAAAAAGAGAGAGAGACAGAGAGAGAGAGACAGACAGAGAGAGCGAGAGACAAAGAGAGAAAGAGAAAGAAAGAGAGAGAGAAACTCTAAAGTAACAGTACTAGTACTGACAGAGTTGGTAACAGTACACATCCACGAGGGCTGTTACACAACAAGTATTTGTTCTGTTTTGCCTCCCTCTTCATCTGGCTTCTATCCTTTGGCCTGTCCAGCACTTGGTAGTCACTGGAACTCAAAATAAAACTGGCTACCACACCAAGATGGACACACATCAGACAGGGTTAACTAGTGATTTCCTGCAGGACACACATCGGACAGGGTTAACTAGTGATTTCCTGTGGGACACACATCGGACAGGGTTAACTAGTGATTTCCTGTGGGACACGCATCAAACAGGGTTAACTAGTGATTTCCTGTGGGACACGCATCAAACAGGGTTAACTAGTGATTTCCTGTGGGACACGCATCAAACAGGGTTAACTAGTGGTTTCCTGTGGGACACGCATCAAACAGGGTTAACTAGTGATTTCCTGTGGGACACACATCAGACAGGGTTAACTAGTGATTTCCTGTGGGACACGCATCAAACAGGGTTAACTAGTGATTTCCTGTGGGACACGCAACAAACAGGGTTAACTAGTGATTTCCTGTGGGACACACATCAGACAGGGTTATCTAGTGATTTACTGTGGAAACAAAACAAGTTCCAGAATACTGACCTTCTATAGTGCTCATGCTGGATAGAGCATACGTGTCCTCGAGCTCGTTCTCAGGGCCAACTTCCTCCCAGGAGGCAGCAAAGTTGGGCTTCATCACCTTCTGTACATGGTCGGCCACATTGACTTCAACATCTTCCAGCTGACAAGGGAAAAAAACAGGTGTAACTTCACTGTACTCATACCCTCGTCAGCTGTTACATTAACCCATTGTCACTGATGCTCTTTTAAATCCCTGTGTCCCTAACTTTACTCCACTATATTCAGGCTGCCTCTTTAATTATTATTTCTCACAGTTTTCACTTCAACTCCCCCTCTCTCTGATAGTTTTAGTTTTAACCCCTCCTATACCTCACAATTTTAACTTTAACCCCTCCTATACCTGACAGTTTTAACTTGAATCCCTCCTATCTCAACAGTTTTAACTTTAACCTTTCCTGTACCTGACAGTTACAATTGTAACTTCTTCTGACAGTTTTAACTTTAACTCCTCCTATCTTGACAGTTATAAGTTTAACTCCTCCTATCTCAGACAGTTTTAACTTTAACCCCTACTATGTCTGACAGTTTTTCTTTAATTCCTCCTATCTCAGTTTTCACTTTAACCCCTCCTATACCTGCAAGTTTGAACTTTATTTCATCCTATCTCGGACAGTTTCAACTCAGATAGTTGTTACTTATACTCCAATTATAGACAGTTTAAACTTTAACTTCCCCTGTCTTGAAAGTTTAAACTTTTGAACTTCTCCTACCTTAAGACAATTTTAACTTTAATGTCTTCTATACTTAAAAGTTTCAACTTTAACCCCTCCTGTACATTATAATTTTAATTTCTTCTATACCTGATAGTTTTAAATTGAACTTCTATACCTGACAGTTTTAACTTTAACTTCCCTTGTACTTGATAATTTCAACATTAATTTCTCCTATACCTGACAGTTTTAACTTTTACACATGACAGTTTTAACTTTAACTTCTCCTATCTCAGATGTTACTTTTACTCCTATCTAAGAAAGTTTAAACTTTAACTCTTGTCTAAGACAGTGTAAGCTTTAAGCCCTGTCTAAGACAGTTTTTACTTTAGCCCCCATCTAAGTCATTTTAAAATTCCTCTCCCATCTAAGACACTTTGAATTTCAACTCCCATCTAAGACACTTTGAATTTCAACTCCCATCTAAGACACTTTGAATTTCAACTCCCATCTAAGACACTTTTAATTTCAACTCCCATCTAAGACACTTTTAATTTCAACTCCCATCTAAGACATTTGTAATTTCAACTCCCATCTAAGACATTTTAATTCTCATTTAAGACAGCTTTTTTTTAACTCCTATCTAAGAGTTTTAATTTTAACTCCCATCTAAGATAACTCTAAATACTAAGATATTTTTAATTTTTAACTCCCATCTAAAAATTTTAACTCCTATCTTAAGACAATTTGAACTTTTAACTTCTATTTAAGAAAGTTTTAACACCATTGTAAAACAATTTTAACTATAGCTCCTATCCAAAATAGCTTTAAATTTAAATTCTATGCACACACAAAAATTGTAAATTTATCTAAGACAGCTTTAACTTTAACTCCTATCCAAGACAGCTTTACCTTTAACTCCTATCTAGGACAGCTTTAACTGTAACTCCTATCTAGGACAGCTTTAACTCCTATCTAGGAAAGCTTTAACAACTCCTCTAATCCCAGACAACCTTTAACTCCTTTCAGCCTGTTAGATGTTGCTTAAGTGACTACAGTTTGGGCCTAACACAAAGCAACAACAAACAACAACAAAAATGCATCCAGATCTTAATTATAATTCTATATTTGATGACAAAGTATGGAACATTAAATGAAAAAGTACTTACCACATACTCATCACATACTCATCACTGTACTCACCACATACTCATCACTGTACTCACCACATACTCATCATTGTACTCACCACATACTCATCATTGTACTCACCACATACTCATCACTGTACTCAACACATACTCATCACTGTAATCATCACTGTACTCACCACATACTCATCACTGTACTCACCACATACTCACCACATACTCATCACTGTACTCACCACATACTCATCACTGTACTTACCACATACTCATCACATACTCACCACATACTCATCACATACTCACCACATACTCATCACATACTTACCACATACTCATCACTGTACTTACCACATACTCATCATTGTACTTACCACATACTCACCACATACTCATCACATACTCATCACTGTACTTACCACATACTCATCATTGTACTTACCACATACTCACCACATACTCATCACATACTCACCACATACTCATCACTGTACTTACCACATACTCATCATTGTACTTACCACATACTCATCACATACTCATCACTGTACTTACCACATACTCATCATTGTACTTACCACATACTCACCACATACTCATCACATACTCACCCCATACTCATCACTGTACTTACCACATACTCATCATTGTACTTACCACATACTCACCACATACTCATCACATACTCACCACATACTCATCACTGTACTTACCACATACTCATCACATACTCATCACATACTCACCACATACTCATCACATACTCACCACATACTCATCACATACTCATCACTGTACTCACCACATACTCATCACTGTACTCACCACATACTCATCACATACTCACCACATACTCATCACTGTACTCACCACATACTCATCACTGTACTCACCACATACTCATCACTGTACTCACCACATACTCATCATTGTACTTACCACATACTCATCACTGTACTCACCACATACTCATCATTGTACTCACCACATACTCATCACATACTCACCACATACTCATCACTGTACTCACCACATACTCATCATTGTACTTACCACATACTCATCACTGTACTCACCACATACTCATCATTGTACTTACCACATACTCATCACTGTACTCACCACATACTCATCACTGTACCCTTCTTCATCTGGTTCTCCTGTCTGAGGATCGCAGTCTTTCACCACAAACTTCAGAGTACAAGCAAATGTGCCGGTCACTGAAAGACAAACAAAATCAGAACACTCCTGAAAAACTGAAAATAAGTGCACAAATTATGAATAAGAAACAGAAGCCAGTGGATGATAAAGCTTCAATATTTGCTTTCACTACCAAGCTAAGCAAAGAAATGTTCTGCTTCTCTTCAAACAGTGTTAATCAATATTTATAACATATGTGGTGTCTCTATGACGAAGGTTGGCTACCGTGCCCCACTACTGTCTTTGGTGGGAACATTATGTGGTGAGGCTCATATCTCTTCTGCGGTGTAACTCTCGTACCATTGTCCGAAATGCATAAGAACATTTAACTGTCCACTGCAGGGCACGAATCCTAGTAATAGACAATTATGAAATTATAACCTCTAAGCCATTGAGCTGCAGTCAATATTTATAATTTGTTTTTATTATGCTAAGAGAAGGACCTATGGTATAAGGATGATGATGATAGTATACTGACCCTGGGTAGGTTCACTGGGCAGCTTGACCAGTGTGTAGGTGGTGCCTGGCTTGTTGTAGGGCAGACTAGCACAAGGCACATACTTGGTCACCTCGAAGCCTTCAGCTGGCTCCATTTCCACAGTGACTTTCTCCAGAAGCTGATCATTCAGAGTGTTTGTGCAGTCAAACTAGAAACACACACATTTCTACGTTAGTTGCAATAATCCTACATAGAACCACACAGAGATAGCTGCATTAGAAATTATGTCACAGTATCAGCTGTCACGATAGAATACTGGCTAAACACTCACTTGCCAGGCTCAGGCAGACATTTTTCCAAATTGATCTTGGCTCAAGCAATCAAACAAAACTTAGGATCTTCCTTAACTAAGATAAACATCACTTAATCAGTTGTGATTAAGGAGTGTGCATTTACTCTATTGACTTCTTAACTAAGACATTCATCATTCAATCACTTGTGTACATTTACTCTATTGACTTCTTAACTAAGACATTCATCATTCAATCACTTGTGTACATTTACTCTAGACTTCTTAACTAAGAAACACATCACTCAATCACTTGTGTACATTTACTCTACCGACTCCTTAACTAAGAAACACATCACTTAATCACTTGTGTACATTTACTCTAGACTTCTTAACTAAGAAACACATCACTCAATCACTTGTGTACATTTACTCTACCGACTCCTTAACTAAGAAACACATCACTTAATCACTTGTGTACATTTACTCTACTGACTTCTTGACTAAGACATTCATCATTCAATCACGTGTGTACATTTACTCTAGACTTCTTAACTAAGACATTCATCATTCAATCACGTGTGTACATTTACTCTAGACTTCTTAACTAGGACATACATCACTTAATCACTTGTGTACATTTACTCTACTGACTCCTTAACTAAGAAACACATCACTCAGTCACTTGTGTACATTTACTCTACTGACTCCTTAACTAAGAAACACATCACTCAATCACTTGTGTACATTTACTCTACTGACTCCTTAACCAAGAAACACATCACTCAATCACTTGTGTACATTTACTCTACTGACTCCTTAACCAAGAAACACATCACTAAATCACTTGTGTACATTTACTCTACTGACTCCTTAACTAAGAAACACATCACTCAATCACTTGTGTGCATTTACTCTACTGACTCCTTAACCAAGAAACACATCATTCAATCACTTCTGTGCATTTACTCTACTGACTCCTTAACTAAGAAACACATCATTCAATCACTTGTGTGCATTTACTCTACTGACTCCTTAACTAAGAAACACATCATTCAATCACTTCTGTGCATTTACTCTACTGACTCCTTAACTAAGAAACACATCATTCAATCACTTGTGTACATTTACTCTACTGACTCCTTAACTAAGAAACACATCACTCAATCACTTGTGTGCATTTACTCTACTGACTCCTTAACTAAGAAACACATCATTCAATCACTTGTGTGCATTTACTCTACTGACTCCTTAACTAAGAAACACATCATTCAATCACTTGTGTACATTTACTCTACTGACTCCTTAACCAAGAAACACATCACTAAATCACTTGTGTACATTTACTCTACTGACTCCTTAACTAAGAAACACATCACTAAATCACTTGTGTGCATTTACTCTACTGACTCCTTAACTAAGAAACACATCATTCAATCACTTGTGTGCATTTACTCTACTGACTCCTTAACCAAGAAACACATCACTCAATCACTTGTGTACATTTACTCTACTGACTCCTTAACTAAGAAACACATCACTCAATCACTTGTGTACATTTACTCTACTGACTCCTTAACTAAGAAACACATCACTCAATCACTTGTGTACATTTACTCTACTGACTCCTTAACTAAGAAACACATCACTCAATCACTTGTGTACATTTACTCTACTGACTCCTTAACTAAGAAACACATCACTCAATCACTTGTGTACATTTACTCTACTGACTCCTTAACTAAGAAACACATCACTCAATCACTTGTGTACATTTACTCTACTGACTTCTTAACTAAGAAACACATCACTCAATCACTTGTGTACATTTACTCTACTGACTCCTTAACCAAGAAACACATCACTCAATCACTTGTGTACATTTACTCTACCGACTCCTTAACTAAGAAACACATAACTCAAATCACTTGTGTACATTTACTCTACTGACTCCTTAACTAAGAAACACATAACTCAATCACTTGTGTGCATTTACTCTACTGACTCCTTAACTAAGAAACACATCATTCAATTACTTGTGTGCATTTACTCTACTGACTCCTTAACTAAGAAACACATCATTCAGTCACTTGTGTGCATTTACTCTACTGACTCCTTAACCAAGAAACACATCACTCAATCACTTGTGTACATTTACTCTACTGACTCCTTAACCAAGAAACACATCACTCAATCACTTGTGTACATTTACTCTACTGACTCCTTAACTAAGAAACACATAACTCAATCACTTGTGTACATTTACTCTACTGACTCCTTAACTAAGAAACACATAACTCAATCACTTGTGTGCATTTACTCTACTGACTCCTTAACTAAGAAACACATCATTCAATCACTTGTGTGCATTTACTCTACTGACTCCTTAACTAAGAAACACATCATTCAATCACTTGTGTGCATTTACTCTACTGACTCCTTAACCAAGAAACACATCACTCAATCACTTGTGTACATTTACTCTACTGACTCCTTAACTAAGAAACACATCACTCAGTCACTTCTGTGCATTTACTCTACTGACTCCTTAACTAAAACATATGTCACTCAGCCACCTGTGTATATGTAATATCTCTAGGATCTCAAGTCGGCCACCTTTATTTTCCAGGATATTACCTGGCACCCATTTTTAGACTGGGTCGACTTGAAGGGCAGGGCCAATTCTGAAGAAAAAATCTGCCTCAATGCACATTTAAACCCTAGACCTTTAGGCCAGGAGGTGAACTTCTTTTAGGCTTCCAACAACCCATGATAAGGCCAAAGTATCAAGGCTGTTCCCGTTTTATTTCATCTTAGACTGACATAAGAGAGCTCTGCTTGTCAAGACGTTCATAACTATCTCAGGATTCAACAGATTGACTTCTAGCCACCTGGCCACTGGCTTCTCTTTGACATACATAGATAGGTAACTGAAAAGAAAGGATGCTATCTCTCTTTCTCTCTCATCCACTCACTCACTTACCTGGAACACAATGTAGTTGCTGAACGTGTGCTTGATACACTGGACATAGTATTCAGTCTCTGACTCTGTCACCTCCACCGGGCTGGAGGATTTAAACAGAGGTCCAAGATTGGCAAGTTCAGGCACCTGTAATCACACCCATTAGTACTTGTACAGGTTGAATTATTCACCAGTGAGCCTGGGTGCATGTGTGTGCGTACGTGCATACGCACACTATACATATATAAGGTAACAGTGGCTGTAGATGGATGTGCTTCTTTTCTGCATTCTCCTTTAACTCTTTCGCCTCAAGAAGCTCAAAACCAACACTTCCGGTTGGTCCAATTCCCTATAAATGTCACTTTCTGAATTGCCTATAGTGACCTGTTTATGAGTGGCATACTTAATGCTATTGGCTGAATCTGCGCCTAAGCAAATGTTTAGGAGATTATTATAATAATACATCAACTTATAATAGCTTTAAAGATTTTTTCCCGCAGCTAAATGTTTTTTTTAGAGCCAAAATAACATATTTTCCCATAAGCCTCAGTGATAGAGGGCATGGGGTTATGGCATGAGTCACCTGGCAAATGTGGGTCTTTGAAACCCTGGGGATGTATTCCATTAAATGCTTGTCTCGTCAGTGTTTACTGATGAATCATTTCATACATCTTTACATGCTTCTGGGACAAAAAATTTCCACAAAACTGTCATAAATACATTTTTAATGAATTTATTAGCGACCTGTGAAAAATGGTTTTTTTTCCCTTCCAATTTTTTTCTGGACTACTAATGGGGTCATGACCTACTTTTGGTTTTGTTCCAGGGCAAAGGGGTTAAAATGCTAAATCTACATCTTTCAGCCCGAAACATCCGATTTCAGTATATTCTTAATCAGTAACCTGTAATGACATGCTTGTTAAGTGGCTATGGGTCTATTTCAAACAGTGACTTTCTACATCTAACAGCTCTAAACAGTGTCTTTCTACATCTAACAGCTCTAAACAGTGTCTTTCTACATCTAACAGCTCTAAACAGTGTCTTTCTACATCTAACAGCTCTAAACAGTGACTTTCTACATCTAACAGCTCTAAACAGTGTCTTTCTACATCTAACAGCTCTAAACAGTGTCTTTCTACATCTAACAGCTCTAAACAGTGTCTTTCTACATCTAACAGCTCTAAACAGTGACTTTCTACATCTAACAGTGACTTTCTACATCTAACAGCTCTAAACAGTGTCTTTCTACATCTAACCCAACCCAGCAAACAGCTCCAAACAGTGTCTTTCTACATCTAACCCAACACAGCAAACAGCTCCCAAACAGTGACTTTCTACATCTAACCCAACACAGCAAACAGCTCCAAACAGTGTCTTTCTACATCTAACCCAACACAGCAAACAGCTCCCAAACAGTGACTTTCTACATCTAACCCAACACAGCAAACAGCTCCCAAACAGTGACTTTCTACATCTAACCCAACACAGCAAACAGCTCCCAAACAGTGTCTTTCTACATCTAACAGCTCCAAACAGTGTCTTTCTACATCTAACAGCTCCAAACAGTGTCTTTCTACATCTAACAGCTCCAAACAGTGTCTTTCTACATCTAACCCAACACAGCAAACAGCTCCAAACAGTGTCTTTCTACATCTAACCCAACACAGCAAACAGCTCCCAAACAGTGACTTTCTACATCTAACCCAACACAGCAAACAGCTCCAAACAGTGTCTTTCTACATCTAACAGCTCCAAACAGTGTCTTTCTACATCTAACAGCTCCAAACAGTGTCTTTCTACATCTAACAGCTCCAAACAGTGTCTTTCTACATCTAACCCAACACAGCAAACAGCTCCAAACAGTGTCTTTCTACATCTAACCCAACACAGCAAACAGCTCCAAACAGTGTCTTTCTACATTAACTCAACAGAGCAAACAGCACCAAACAGTGTCTTTCTACATTAACTCAACAGAGCAAACAGCTCCAAACAGTGTCTTTCTACATTAACTCAACAGAGCAAACAGCACCAAACAGTGTCTTTCTACATTAACTCAACAGAGCAAACAGCTCCAAACAGTGTCTTTCTACATCTAACAGCTCCAAACAGTGTCTTTCTACATCTAACAGCTCCAAACAGTGTCTTTCTACATCTAACCCAGCACAGCAAACAGCTCCAAACAGTGTCTTTCTACATCTAACCCAACAGAGCAAACAGCACCAAACAGTGTCTTTCTACATTAACTCAACAGAGCAAACAGCACCAAACAGTGTCTTTCTACATTAACCCAACAGAGCAAAGAGCTGTTTCCCCAACACCAGGTGTCTGTCCCAGCCACTTACCTGAGCCAGCTGCTCCTGGTAAACATCCTGCCTAGTGGCGGCCACCTTGTCCTGGGCAGGTTTCGAGCTGGGAAGTTCGCCAGGTACATCACGAACTAAAATTACAAAGAAAACAGAAAAACGTTTAGCCGTAAAATTTCAAATTATTCTTTCCCTGTATAAATGAGTTGATAAAGCATGAAATTGTTGTTAACCACAACAGAAGCATCTCAGGTCAGCTTATATTCCTAGAACTGAACAAAGTGTTTCATATTTAGCCTTAACCATCCACCTGTGACATGTGTATGTCAAATGCAAGTCACAGTCAATTCTTCCACTGTTATATCCTTCGCACCATAATAGATGGAATCCAATCCTGCATTTCTGAAATTTCATGGCACAGTTTCTCTTGAATGTTCTCGTTTCCTCAACATACTTACTTCCCATTTTAGTACCTGCTTGCCCCCGTGTGGGTTCCAGGGCCCCATTGTGGGGAAAACAAGAATAGACCCACTGCCTCCCCAAAAGCATGTTGTAAGAGTTGACTAATTGGGGAGTTTCTTTAAAGTCGGAGTGCATCTGCTGGAGAGGCAAGGAACCAACAGTCTGTATTCAAGAGAATTAGATCTGTAAAACTGATGCACATGCAACACTTAGGTTCTGGAGCAGGACTGCAGTTCAGTAGTGGACGAGCAACAAGAACTTTCTGCCAGAGTGTACAGCTGGTGAACGCGAAGAAGAAGAAGAAGAAGAAGAGGTACCTGCTTGGAAATTCTCTATCAGTTTCTCCTCAGGATGTGCCATATGGCCATCCTTTTTTTTCCTAACTCTAAAGGGCCCAGACACCTATTTCTTAAAAACTATAAAAACTATTCATGTCTTCAAAAATAAGAGTTAATTTAGCAAGTGGAACAGAATGGCCACAATATAACAATTCAACCACAATATCAACAGATAAATCTATGAAAAAGAATTACAAGCGAATAAATTCAACATCCGTTTGGAGCAAAACTGGTGAGGGTAAGTAATAAATAGAGTAACTAATGAAGACATCACGCGCGGTCTAGTATTGAAGGAGTTAAATAAGTGTTTACTAACATTTTATAGCAATTCATGAATTTAGTCTTTGCAACTGTTACTGAGATATCTTTAAGTCTCCAGAAAAAATCTCCATCTCACACCGAAGATCAACCCCGGGTCTCCTGCATGAGAATACAGCCTTCTCATCACTGGAACAACCAGACCTCTGTAATCTGCCATTCATACTATAAACGCTGTTTGAGAATGGATGCCTGGGACTGGCTAGCACATGCTGCAGAAATTTTGACTTGCTAAATCTAATAAATAATTGAAAGTAAAGATCTTGGCATGAGGTAGCTGAAGGTAAAGATCTTGGCATGAGATAGTTCAAGGTAAAGATCTTGGTATGAGATAGTTGAAGGTAAAGATCTTGGTATGAGATAGTTCAAGGTAAAGATCTTGGCATGAGTTGGTTGAAGGTAAAGGTCTTGGCATGACTGGCTGAATGTAAAGATTTTGTTCGCTGAAGGTAAAGGTCTTGCCATGAGATGGTTAAAGGTAAAAATCTTGGCATGAGATGGTTAAAGGTAATGATCTTGGCATGAGATGGTTAAAGGTAAAGATCTTGGCATGAGTTGTTTGAAGGTAAAGGTCTTGCCATGACTGGCTGAAGGTAAAGATTTTGTTTAGTGAAGATCTTGCCATGAGATGGTTGAAGGTAAAGATCTTGGCATGAGATGGTTAAAGGCCTATCTTCACTGGGGAAAAATTGGCAGAAGAAGAATATCTTGACTTGCTGAGATACCTCAAAGGGACATATATTTAAGGCAGCAGGCAGATGCTAGGTTGTACATCTAAATCATGGCTAAACAACACACATTTGTAACGAGTGCCCATTCAAAATATTTACATGTTTCTGTCATTACTAGTCATGTAGTTAATTTTATTTAAGGAGATCCTTATGTTGTTCTGTTACATCCCTTTCAAACTTTTTTCTGTAATCCTTTCTCATTCTCGGAGTACTGCAGGTGGCAATGATGACTGTTTTTATACTCGTACAGTTTACTGGTACCCACCAATCGAGCAACTGATCTGTCCTCTCCAGGCTGCTACCTGAAGAAGCATAGCCATGAGATTTAAATAAAACATCTTAATATAGATGGCAGGCCCCATAAAGCAGATTTCAGATACCAGGTTCAATCTCTAGAGAAGTTACGATTAGGGCACTTGTAATGGCTACTCCAGCCAGGCGTCACCTCAAGTCTTGTGTGGGTCAGGTCAATCCAACCCACCACACAGAATCTATACACAGCAGTGGCTAAGAATATCCTACCTCTTTGTTCTGTGATTGGCTGCGTGGCCAGGGGAACTGACTTCATGTCAAACGGAGTCTCAGATGGCTCCAGGGTGTACTGATGCAAGGCTCGCTCCAGTCCAACAACAGAAACTTGTAGTCCTAACATACAGACACATTTAAAAAAACACATAATTGCAGATCAAACTAAACTGGAAGGGATGATTTAATGCAAATTTTCAGAGATTTCTTCTTCATTCCTCTTTTTACCTCTTCAGATGCTGAGGGAGATATAAGGCTCTGCTTCATGATTTTCTGGCAGCCTCGACTTTAGACACATTGTGCTGTTGTAGAGTTTCTCTGATGTTATCTTTCCATGTATTTGTGGTCTACCTCATGCTCTACCTTCTCTTTTTGAGTATTCCTTGTATGATATGGCATCACACGTCATTCGCTCTAAATGGGCAAATCACTTGATAACTAAAATCAGCAAATAACGGAAGGTAAAACTAGTTGGATGTACAAATACATAATTAAAAACCACAGAATGAAATTTAAAGCAGAACTTACCATTGAGGATAAAAGCAGAACTTACCATTGAAGATGCAGGCAGAACTTACCATTGAGGATAAAAGCAGAACTTACCATTGAGGATGTAGGCAGAGCTGAGAGCCTTCTGCTGTTGCTTGAGCACATTGACAAAGAAAGTTGCCCTGTCTCTCACTTCATCATCAGAATCCAGCTGGCAGCTGAAAAGAGTTAGGACATAGAGCTACAAGATGAATTCTTATTTCTGGAACTACATACCCCAATCTTGCCTCTAGAGTTACAACTCTAATCTGGTCTCTAGAACAGCATGCTCCAATGCTGTCTCTAGAACTACATGCTCCAGTCTTGTCTCTAGAACTACATGCTCTAATCTAATCTTTAGAGCTACAAGCTCCAATTGTGTCTCTAAAGCTACAAGCTCCAATACTCTCCAGTTACATGCTCCAATCTTGTCTCTAGAACTACATGCTCCAATCTTATTTCTAGAGCTACAAGCTCCAAATGTGTCTCTAAAGCTACAAGCTCCAATACTCTCCAGTTACATGCTTCAATCTTGTCTCTAGAACTACATGCTCCTATCTTTTTTCTAGAGCTACAAGCTCTAATCTTTAGAGCCACGTGCTTCAATCTTATCTCTAGAGCCACATGCTCCAATATTATCTCCATAGCTAATGCTTCAATCTAATCTCTAGAGCCACATGCTCCAATATTATCTCCAGAGCTAATGCTTCAATCTTATCTCCAGAGCTACATGCTCCAGTCTCATCTCTAGAGCTACAAACTCCAATCATGTCTTCACATTTTAACATTATTTGTACATAGATTCTGTTGGAAATCTAGGTTTTGACTATAACACCTTACAAAGAAGGAGCCGTGGTAGTGCAGTGGCTTGCTGCTCACCTGACAGTGAAAATGACTAGGTATCAAATCCACATTGAGTCTGTTGTTTTTTCCCCCTCCAAAACTAACCTTGGCTCCCACTGATCCAGCCTAACATACATAAATAGATATCAGGCAATGTAGGGGAAAGTAAAGATGGCCCGTATGTTCATCAAGTGTGAACTGGCCTATAAAAATATGAGTCTAGCATCTTATTCCCTACATACCACAGGCATAAAAAATGTCCTTTATTGCTGTATCCTAACAACCCTGTGGCCCCAGGCAGCCCTGAACCCTGCCATTCCACTGCTGCCACATTCCTGTAAAGGCCACAGTGACCTGTTTACGAGAAGTGCAGTTTAATGTCATTTGTTCTGTTCGCATCTGCGCAGCAATTAGGAGGCAAAGATATGAATATATTTACTAAAAACAGCATGTGGGTAGGGCAGAGGATTCTAATGAACCATATGGCTTTTTTAAAGCCATGCTGATGTCAAATTGCCTCCACAGTCTCACTAACAGAAGTCACGGACTTATGCACCTGATACATATTTTGAGGCCCTGGGGACTATTTAATGCTTTGCTCTGTTAAATGAGTTTACTGATTATTTCTTTTATATTTCTTTACATACATGTATAAACAATTTTTTAAACAGCATTTAACAAAAATTTATTTTAACCTGTTTGTTTGTTCATTAAGGATTTTGGGAAGAATTTTCACAAGACATCCTCCTATTTTGTTTTCCTAATTAAGAAGTTACGAAAAGCATAAGAAGCCAGTGCTAAATCAATGTACTGGTTCATATGGAAGTGACTTCTGTAGCAACTGTATTTCAACATTAGAATGATAGTCACCCCACAAAAGTCCATCTGCATCAGTTAGCCAGTTCGAGGTATCAAAGAGCTGTTTATACATAGAATAAGACAAATCTCAACTTGCAGTATAAAACAATGAAAACATATGCTGAGATTGCAATAACGTAGGGTTCTGAAAATCTGGCCTACCGTTCCAACAGCACAACACAACTGTTGAGCAGGTCATCACAGTGAGCTCCAAACTTGGCAATAGCACTGACGGCAGCTGATATTGAAGAAAAACAGAAGCGTTTCAGTTAAAGAAACAACAATCCTAGTCTTAGTCGAAGTTTCAACTTCACTGCACTGGAGTCACCCTCCATACTCTCTCTGTTCCTGGGCCATAGAAAATCAAATGAAATGTCCCTCTCTCTCTCCCATTTGAAAAAGTGGTGAACAAAACAGCAATGATAACATAAGCCGCTGGATTACTAAAACAAAAATATTTTTACAGCATTTTTCCTTCTGACCAATGCCGATAAGCTGGAAGTATTTCTGAGAGCCATTAAAACAAAAACAAACAGACATTACAATATTTTTTTAAATATCTTTCTCTACCATCTCCATAATGTAGGTTTGCTACAGTGTTCTCACTGCTGTTTTTAAGTATATTACATGATAAGGCCCAATTTCTTCCAATAAAAAAAACTATTCACAATAGACAGTAAGCCACAGTACTCAGAAATAATGAAACTGTTAAACCGATTCACTAACCTCTAGGCTACAGAGCCACAATGCATACTACAACCAACAAAATGTGTGTCAGCTCCACAGAGGAGGTTCGCTACAGTAGATGTGTGCTGTCTTTGGAAATATTACACTGTGAGGTCCTAATCTCTTTTCAATGTGAGTTTTGTTACAATGCCAGTGTCACTCTCGTTACAATACCAGTGTGACTTTAATAACAATGCCAGTGTGAATTTAATAACAATGCCAGTGTGACTCGTTAAAATGGCAGAGTGACTCCGCTTACAATGTCAGCCTGACTCTTGTTACAATGTCAGTATGACTTTTGTTACAATGTCAGTATGACTTTTGTTACAATTACAGTATGACTTTTGTTACAATTACAGTATGACTTTGTTACAATGTCAGTATGACTTTTGTTACAATGCCAGTATGACTTTTGTTACAATGTCAGCGTGACTCTTGTTACAATGTTAGCATGACTTTTGTTACAATGTCAGTATGACTCTTGTTACAATGTTAGTATGACTTTTGTTACAATGTCAGTATAACTTTTGTTACAATATCAGTATGACTCTTGTTACAATGTCAGTATGACTCTTGTTACAATGTCAGCGTGACTTTTGTTACAATGTCAGTATGACTTTTGTTACAATATCCGTATGACTCTTGTTACAATATCAGTATGACTCTTGTTACAATATCAATATGACTCTTGTTACAATGTCAGTATGACTCTTGTTACAATGTCAGTATGACTTTTGTTACAATGTCAGTATGACTTTTGTTACAATGTCAGCGTGACTCTTGTTACAATGTCAGTATGACTCTTGTTACAATGTCAGTATGACTTTTGTTACAATGTCAGTATGACTTTTGTTACAATGTCAGTATGACTTTTGTTACAATGTCTGAATGACTTTTGTTACAGTGTCAGTATGACTTTTGTTACAATGTCAGTATGACTTTTGTTACAATGTCAGTGTGACTTTTGTTACAATGTCAGTATGACTCTTGCTACAATGTCAATATGACTTTTGTTACAATATCAGTATGACTCTTGTTACAATGTCAGTATGACTTTTGTTACAATGTCAGTGCGACTCTTGTTACAATGTCAGTATGACTCGTGTTACAATGCCAGAAAGTTGTAAGAATAATTTTCTGACCTAAATCGCCTGCTAAAGACAATATGAACCATGGTTTGTTGAGGATTGTGAAACACAATCATTAATCTCTGAGCTATGGAGTCATGACCTTACAGCTTAAGTACACACAGGATTCTATTTCCCCACAGTTAAAGTATAAATATGATTTAATCTGACTTCCGATGAGCTTCTTCTGACACATTTATTCATAGATCATGTCCCTGGACAATTACCCATGAAGCAACAACGAAGGCTGACGTAACCACAACTGACCTGCACGGACAGCAGCATTCTCCAGAATGACCCTGTTGTAGATGAACCTGATGTACTTGGAGGGCGTGGGTGTCCGAGGACCCTCCCGGCCCAAGAGGTGGAGGATCTTTGTTGCCAGGACTGTGTGCTCACAATCCTCGATGAACTCACAAAGGTGAGCAAGGCCTGGAGACAAGACCACAGAAATGTTCATGTGTATCTACGTGCTTGGATATAATTGCTGCACAATGTAACTAGACTCAACAGATTTAGGATCTGGAACCGCATGACAGCTTTCATAAAGTCTACCGGACTCCTGATACAAGTTTTATGACAAAAGGATCCAGGAAGAAGAAGAACAGATTTAAAGATGACAGAACAATAGGAAATGTACTCGTGGATCATATCCACAAGGAAGGACAATAGATTTACATAGAATTATAATTATATAATAAGTATTACCCGCAGAAAGAACAGTTTGAACTTATTTACCTACTATGTGTGATACACAGAAACTTACACACAACACAACAAGTATGAACACAAGCATATGTTGCTAACTACACACACACTGTCTGTGTTTACTCACCAGCCTCCTTGGCCTCTGCGTTCTCCTCAATAGTTGCAATGATGCAATCAACAATTTCCTTCTTGTAATCAAAGCCTCCCTGTCAGAAACCAACAAAAGTGGCAATGACTGAAACATTTCACACAACCACACTGGACTACTTCTTAGCTAGAGGCCACCTCACAATAACTGTGTAACATGGCCAAAGGGAGGTCCTAGGATTTGCTCCTGTTTGAGTCTCGTACATGAGATGTTAATCCTACATACTACACTCCTGCAGGGAGACAAATGATGTAGGGCTTTGGTAATCTTTTTCTTAGCGTTCCTCGACTGAAAACATCACAAACTTTTGGTTGTTTGTTCACTCCTGATCTTTGGTCTTGAGTTTTGCGTGCACATCCAATTTACTGATCTGGCTTATATGCAGAATGTTGGTTTCTTGCCTCTCAGGCAGATGCAATCTGACTCTTAGGCAACATTCCTAATTAGCCACCTTCTACTAATATGCCTGTTGGGGGGGGGGGGGTGTCTATTCTTTGTTCCCCAAAATGGAGCCATGGAACCCCACAGCAAGCCTGGTAATCACATCCGTCCGTAGCTTTCTATCTTGTGTACTGTCAACTGTTTCCAAGTACAGATGCTCTTCCATAGTATGATGCATGTTTTTTTTGGGGGGGGGGGGGGGGGGGGGGGGGGGGGGGGGGGAGCATAATTTTACAAGCCTATGCTTATAACTGTGCACATGAGGGCTGTGCACACTAACAGAAAAATGTGTCATGCAAGACTGTCCCTTGTACCGCCCATTAAGAAGTGAATTCTGGCCCAGAGAGTACCACCGTACTCAACTACATAGAAACAAAAAAAAAACTAATCAAGGATATGATCAAAAGAAGTAGAAGAAGAACAGCCATAACATCTGTCAAATAAAACTTTAAATGGCTACCAACCTCGTCCCTCAACATCTGCGAGAGGAAAGTCATCAGCACATTGTGTTTCCGGGGAAACTTGGAGCACAGAGAGCGGATGGCCTGAACCACCACAATCTTGAACTCATCAGAAATCTCGGACATGAAAGTTGAGATCTGCTTCATGAGACGATCTACACTGCTTTCGTTGCCAGTCTTCAGCAAGGTTGTGATGGCCAGTGTGGCAATGCTGCGGTTGACGTCTGTAATCAGGTTTTCTAGGTCAAGGTTGCAGGCGGTTACTGCAGCTGGATGCTTGATTGCCACCTGGTTAATTAGAAATGTGAAGTAGAATTAACAGTCATCACATGAAGTAGAATCAACAGTCATCACATGAAGCAGAATCAACAGTCATCACATGAAGCAGAATCAACAGTCATCACATGAAGCAGAATTAACAGTTATCACATGAAGCAGAATTAACAGTCATCAAGTGAAGCAGAATTAACAGTCATCACGTGAAGCAGAATTAACAGTCATCACATGAAGCAGAATTAACAGTCATCACATGAAGCAGAATTAACAGTCATCACATGAAGTAGAATTAACAGTCATCACATGAAGTAGAATTAACAGTCATCACATGGAGTAGAATTAACAGTGATCACATGAAGTAGAATTAACAGTGATCACATGAAGTAGAATTAACAGTCATCACGTGAAGCAGAATTAACAGTGATCACATGAAGTAGAATTAACAGTCATCACATAAAGCAGAATTAACAGTCATCACATAAAGCAGAATTAACAGTCATCACATGAAGTAGAATTAACAGTTATCACATAAAGCAGAATTAACAGTCATCACATAAAGCAGAATAACAAGTCATCACATGAAGTAGAATTAACAGTCATCACATAAAGCAGAATTAACAGTCATCACATAAAGCAGAATTAACAGTCATCACATAAAGCAGAATTAACAGTCATCACATGAAGTAGAATTAACAGTTATCACATAAAGCAGAATTAACAGTCATCACATAAAGCAGAATTAACAGTCATCACATAAAGCAGAATTAACAGTCATCACATGAAGTAGAATTAACAGTCATCACATGAAGTAGAATTAACAGTCATCACATAAAGCAGAATTAACAGTCATCACATAAAGTAGAATTAACAGTCATCACATAAAGTAGAATTAACAGTCATCAAGTGAAGCAGAATTAACAGTCATCACATAAAGCAGAATTAACAGTCATCACATGAAGCAGAATTAACAGTCATCACATAAAGCAGAATTAACAGTCATCACATGAAGTAGAATTAACAGTTATCACATAAAGTAGAATTAACAGTCATCAAGTGAAGCAGAATTAACAGTCATCACGTGAAGCAGAATTAACAGTCATCAAGTGAAGCAGAATTAACAGTCATCACGTGAAGCAGAATTAACAGTCATCACGTGAAGCAGAATTAACAGTCATCACATGAAGCAGAAATAACAGTCATCACATGAAGCAGAATTAACAGTCATCACATGAAGCAGAATTAACAGTCATCACATGAAGCAGAATTAACAGTCATCACATGAAGCAGAATTAACAGTTATCACGTGAAGCAGAATTAACAGTCATCAAGTGAAGCAGAATTAACAGTCATCACGTGAAGCAGAATTAACAGTCATCAAGTGAAGCAGAATTAACAGTCATCACGTGAAGCAGAATTAACAGTCATCACGTGAAGCAGAATTAACAGTCATCACGTGAAGCAGAATTAACAGTTATCACGTGAAGCAGAATTAACAGTCATCACATAAAGCAGAATTAACAGTCATCACATAAAGCAGAATTAACAGTCATCACATGAAGCAGAATTAACAGTCATCACATAAAGCAGAATTAACAGTCATCACATGAAGCAGAATTAACAGTCATCACATGAAGCAGAATTAACAGTCATCACATAAAGTAGAATTAACAGTCATCACATGAAGCAGAATTAACAGTCATCACATGAAGTAGAATTAACAGTGATCACGTGAAGTAGAATTAACAGTCATCACGTGAAGCAGAATTAACAGTCATCACATGAAGCAGAATTAACAGTCATCACATGAAGCAGAATTAACAGTCATCAAGTAAAGCAGAATTAACAGTCATCACGTGAAGCAGAATTAACAGTCATCACGTGAAGCAGAATTAACAGTTATCATGTGAAGCAGAATTAACAGTCATCACGTGAAGCAGAATTAACAGTCATCACATGAAGCAGAATTAACAGTCATCACATGAAGCAGAATTAACAGTCATCACATGAAGCAGAATTAACAGTCATCACATGAAGTAGAATTAACAGTCATCACATGAAGTAGAATTAACAGTCATCACATGGAGTAGAATTAACAGTGATCACATGAAGTAGAATTAACAGTGATCACATGAAGTAGAATTAACAGTCATCACGTGAAGCAGAATTAACAGTGATCACATGAAGTAGAATTAACAGTCATCACATAAAGCAGAATTAACAGTCATCACATAAAGCAGAATTAACAGTCATCACATGAAGTAGAATTAACAGTTATCACATAAAGCAGAATTAACAGTCATCACATAAAGCAGAATAACAAGTCATCACATGAAGTAGAATTAACAGTCATCACATAAAGCAGAATTAACAGTCATCACATAAAGCAGAATTAACAGTCATCACATAAAGCAGAATTAACAGTCATCACATGAAGTAGAATTAACAGTTATCACATAAAGCAGAATTAACAGTCATCACATAAAGCAGAATTAACAGTCATCACATAAAGCAGAATTAACAGTCATCACATGAAGTAGAATTAACAGTCATCACATGAAGTAGAATTAACAGTCATCACATAAAGCAGAATTAACAGTCATCACATAAAGTAGAATTAACAGTCATCACATAAAGTAGAATTAACAGTCATCAAGTGAAGCAGAATTAACAGTCATCACATAAAGCAGAATTAACAGTCATCACATGAAGCAGAATTAACAGTCATCACATAAAGCAGAATTAACAGTCATCACATGAAGTAGAATTAACAGTTATCACATAAAGTAGAATTAACAGTCATCACATAAAGTAGAATTAACAGTCATCACATGAAGTAGAATTAACAGTTATCACATAAAGTAGAATTAACAGTCATCACATGAAGTAGAATTAACAGTCATCACATGAAGCAGAATTAACAGTCATCACATGAAGCAGAATTAACAGTCATCACATGAAGTAGAATTAACAGTCATCACATGAAGCAGAATTAACAGTCATCACATGAAGTAGAATTAACAGTCATCACATAAAGTAGAATTAACAGTCATCACATAAAGCAGAATTAACAGTCATCACATGAAGTAGAATTAACAGTCATCACATGAAGTAGAATTAACAGTCATCACATAAAGTAGAATTAACAGTCATCACATGAAGCAGAATTAACAGTTATCACATGAAGCAGAATTACCAGTTATCACATAAAACAGAATTAACAGTTATGATGTGAAGCAGAATTAACAGTCATCACATGAAGCAGAATTAACAGTCATCATGTGAAGTACAATTAACAGTCATCATGTGAAGTACAATTAACAGTCATCACGTGTTATCTTTGCATTAAGATCAGGTGTACTGTCTCAGAAACCATCTACTCCGTGTGTTCTTGGTGCATTTGATGTTTTCTTTTGATCATCTCTCAGTGGAGCACAGGCACTTATAACTGGTTAGATTTTGCTGCTACACTTATCAATGGGCTGAGGTAGCCAATCTAGCACCAACTCAAGTCACCTCTGCAGACAAACATGTCATATATAACAGGGCTTATTTGTTTACAAACAGGTGATGAATAGTAATAAACTCAAGGATGAACTTCACTGTACAGGATGTTCTCTCAGCAGTTTGGTCCATCTCTACAGAGATGAACTACACTTTCATAGCCTTACCTATGTTCCATCCTCATCCATTTCCATTTTTGCATAGGAAGCAACAATCTGCGATTCACTGCTCAGTAAGTGGCATTGCTACTGTTATTCAGTGTGTATGTAGAATATCATCACTCCATCTTCTCCTAGGGCGTCCTCTTGCTTCCATATCAGATCTGTTTAGGTGTAGTGCCTGCATCAATAGTTGTTGTGGCTGCCTTTTAATGACATGACCAAACCACTGAATCTTCTGCTTCTCAATGAATGTGATGCACGGTGTTGTTACCACAGTCTGCCGAACAGTGGCATTTCTCCCTTGCTCTCAGATGGTTACAATGGTGGTTTATATACAAATATGTGCATAAAAATAGTCACTGTCATTGCCATAACTCTTCCTTGGCTCTCCAATGACTGCGGTTTACTCTGACACACTCGAGACTAACAGTAACACAGCCGATAACACTGTTTATTCTGTAACGATGCTTTTACTTGAGACAATGTCAGATGAAGAGATGTCTAGGGTGATAGCCATATGTAACAGCAAAGTCTTACTTACAATAGTCATAAGAATGAACACTATCACTTCATTCCAAACAAACACATCGCAACTTCACAAATCATATCAGAAAAACACAGTTGCTGCTTTCTGTATTATCACTTTCATGACTCCATGGATTACTGGCCAGAATTTCTCTAAGTCAGGGAGTTAGAGCAGTCACTCTTTATTCAGGGTACGCTTCATTCAAGATTTACTCACTCCATACACTCCATCGACACCAGACTGGAATAAGACTGCTCTAATGCCGTTTCTCCTGGCTTAAATAGCCTGTTCCTTACATTCTAGAATGTTCCCATACACTCCTTGTAATTCTCGTTTTTTATGGCTATTTGGCTAGCCTTTACACAATAATACCATTTCCTTCGTGAAGTTTTCCAACATGACATTTAGTCTGTCATCTCATACAATGTTTTAACACCCCCACTTCATCATGATTTATGACAATGAGATACGGATAAGAAAATGAGTCATTACATCAGTGTAATCACAATGTCAAACATTACTTGTTGAATAAAACACCTACCTTGTTTAAAGTTCTAACAGCAGCAAACCGGAGGGTTGGCTTGGGGGAGCTACAGAAAAGCTGAAGCACAGAAACTGCTGGAGCTAAGTCTTTAGCTGTTGTGTTTTTCAACTGGACAATGGCATGGGCTGCCTCATAAATCACCATTTCAGATTTGTGGCGGAGGCAGCTTTCAATAAAGTCAAACATGGGGCTGTCGGAGCCAGCATCTTCTTCCTCAATGAGTTTGGCAGCAATGCGAATCTGCAAAATGAGATATATTGAAACACGTTTAGACAAATAAGTACACAATTCAGATACAGACTGTGACACCTAATCATTTTAACAGGATGATTGAAATATAAACCGTTTCTATTGGAGATACCCCAGTTAAGTTAATTTTGTCTTTTCTTGTTGGTACTAGTGGTACTGTAGATTAATGTATATGCTGATGAGGGTTCAATAGCCGCAACATTTACTTGTGGTTTGTTTGTGATACTGTAAAGCTTACTAGGTCTACATTTAATTTGGTTTGATTGTTGTTATCGATCCAGCGGCGCATGAGCTTTCACCCTTTGGCCCAATGCCATGTAGTGGAATTTGCATGTTTTCACAAGCTGTTCTTTTCCTCCATACAAGGTGTTCCACTTGTCTGGTCTCGGAGGAAGTAGCATTCTTCTAGTCTCGCTCAGTTTTGGGCACTCAAAGAGATGGTGTTCAACAGTTTCGTAGGGGTAGTTATAGCTGGCACTCTGGGGAGTGTTGTGGCTGTATTCTGTTTAGATGTCCATTGAGTGGAGTATGTTGCAATTTGGTTTGATATCTTTTCATAAACCATGTAGAATCAATATTGCTGATTTCTTCTTCTTCACCATCTTTGATCATGTACACATCCGGAAAGTGCTCATTCGAACTCAAATGTTTTGTGTGCGTGTGTGTGTTTTGAGTTCTTTAGTCTCAAATTGCTTCTCCAAATGGTAGGTAATGAAGTTGGTCCTGTTTATATTTTTATTTGGTGGTGTTTATATTATTATTTGTTTCCCAATATTTTCCAGCCTTTTAAATTTCTCATCTGTAACATTCTGTCTATCCCCGTGTTTCTTGTTTAGTATTTTCCTCAGCTAAGTTTTGAACTGTATCTCTTCTGTTGATATGCCATATAAATTTTATTTCTCTTGTTCTTATGATTTTGAGGAGTGATCTTTTAATTCTTGTACCTGTTAATACTTAAGCATTCAGACTGACTTCCGTCCACAGTCTTCACAAAATTGTTCTAAACAACATAACTTTCGACACTGTTCTAAACAACATAACTTTCGACACTGTTCTAAACAACATAACTTTCGACACTGTTCTAAACAACATAACTTTCAACATTGTTCTAAACAACATAACTTTCCACACAGTTCTAAACAACATAACTTTCGACACTGTTCTAAACAACATAACTTTCGACACTGTTCTAAACAACATAACTTTCGACACTGTTCTAAACAACATAACTTTCGACACTGTTCTAAACAACATAACTTTCGACATTGTTCTAAACAACATAACTTTCGACACTGTTCTAAACAACATAACTTTCCACACTGTTCTAAACAACATAACTTTCGACACTGTTCTAAACAACATAACTTTCGACACTGTTCTAAACAACATAACTTTCCACACTGTTCTAAACAACATAACTTTCCACACTGTTCTAAACAACATAACTTTCGACACTGTTCTAAACAACATAACTTTCGACACTGTTCTAAACAACATAACTGTCGACACTGTTCTAAACAACATAACTTTCGACACTGTTCTAAACAAAACAATTGTCAACATTGTTCTAAACTAAAACAGCTGTCAACTTTGTTATAAACAATTTAACTGTCAACATTCTTCTAGAACAAAATAACTTTCAACATCCTTCTAAGCAGCAAAACTTTCAACTTCTTGTCTTCTTTTTCTTCTCTTCCACCTTGTACCTCATCAAAATGTCGGGGGGAGATGTAAAGTTCGTTGATGAGCTCTGTCAAGAGCACTATTAAGACTGATGTTTATTTCTGTAAGGCTGTTCTTAATGCCATCACTCCATATTTTCCGAGGTCTTCCACTCGCTCTATACCTGTTGTAATGTTTTAGTGTGGCTCGTTGTGGCAGATAGTACCAGGCCATTCTTGTTAGGTGTCCAAACCACTTCACTTTTTGTTCTTTGATGACCTGTAAGACTGGCTTTATTCCTAGCATTCGTCCAATTTCGTATTCTGTCTTTCCTTGAAACTCCTGCAGCTCTTCTAGGGCATTTCATCACTGTTGTCACAATTTTACGTTCATTGGAGTGTCCACGTTTGGCATTGATAGCATAGTGTTGGCCAAAAAATAGTTCTGATAAGATTCAACTTCTTGTAAACTGTCTAAAGACAGCTGAAAGTTCAGTGCTGATGCAGGGGACTAGCTCCCTGTGTGGGTTCCTGACCCCATTCTAAGGTAAAACAAGAATAGATCCACCAGAACAAGCATGTCATAAAAGGCAACCACTTAGGAGTTTGCTGAGATTGGATATGTTGGGTCAAATAACACAGCCAAGCAGTAAACTAAAATAGAGTGTCGACTGCATGTTTAAGAGCAAGCAAAGATAAAGAAGAAGTGGTCCAGTATATGTTTTTTGATATGCCTTCCAGAGGACACGCACAAAACATCTTCAACTGTTTGTTTATTAGTCCACACATACACACAAATGAGAAAGCAATCAGACAAAGCCTATGTATGTTTGTTTGTTCAGTCTCTTTGTTCCACCCTCAAGTAAAGCATATTGACTTTCCTTGCTGGTCAAAAGTGTGGAAATGACTACTGGGTGCGTTCTATTAACTCTTGACAATAAATCTGTAGGACATGATGGGTTAAACAGTCAAACAGTCATACAACAGCTTACTAGCACTCACTCACCAGCAGACAATAAGCATAGGGTGACTTGAGTGTGTGTTTGCTGAACTTGCTGACCAGCTTGTTCACGGCCAGCTTGTCTGACTTCCTGATGTGGTACAGCAGACCCAAGGCATGGAACTGAAAACAACATGAGTCCTTCAATAGTAAACTAATCATACAAGTCATCATCATCTTGTTATGCCGTTATAGCTGACAGGCTAGTCTTCTATTCTGTGCTATGTTGTGCAATCCTTCCGATATCATGGATGGAATCCAGTCTAGCACCTTTGGCCTCTCTCAACAATAATTCATTTTAGGGTTTCTCTTAAATATCCTAGTTTCCTCAGTCTACTTGCTTCCCATTTCAGTGACTTTATCTCTGTGTCTCCCATAATGTACCCAGTGTACTGCTATCTTCTTTTTCTCATAAGTGTTGACATAAGCAGTAGCTGTGCAATTAATTATCGGAAAATCTTGAGTGTAAAGCATACCCTTTTAAACTCTAATTTCTTTCAAATATGGTTGCATAAAGTAATTTTTCAAGATTTTGTTAATGCGCTTATTTTAGCCTAATTAAATATTTATAATTATAAATACACGCAACAAATGACTGTACATATATGTAATAATTTATATTAGGAGTGGGGATGTCTTAGATTTGGTTAAAATGACATAAATTCTAAAATGTATTTTACATTATGAAACACATCTGGGTCGCTCACAAAAACAAACAGCTGCGCTGCAATGTTTTAACTTCATGACCAGTAAATCTTATCTTCAAAAGTGTCTACCCATAAGAGCTGTGCACTATTTTAACAAATATTTAGTTGTATATACACACAATTTTAAGTTAGTTGTGCATCCTTCGCAAGACGTTGTAGAACCAACCCCAGAATTTTGGGCTGTTGTAGTTTTCTAGGCAAATTTACAGTCAGTAGTTTGCTATTGTGTTCTGAACGGTTGATCCTCAATGCCACCGTTGAAACCACACACAAACCGGTCTGGTGGTAAATCGCTTGCAGCTGGGATCAAACCTGGCACGATGGCATTATGAAGCGTGTTCACAAAGCCTAAGCTACAGGCACTTAAAGAACCGAACCCAGGGTGTCTGACTGCTTTTGCTAGGCAATTTTATGTTCAACAGTTTGCCAATGCTTCCTGACTTCATTCCACCAGGTTTGCTCCCACACAGTTCAGTATCTCTCTGCAAAATGGCTAGCCGCCTGCCAAAAGTGACACATAAAGCACAAACTTCAGAGCCCTGGTGACGATCCCCAGGGATCTCTTTATAAAGTGCCTTCATGGTGTGAGGCGAATAGCTTGACCACTTTGCAGCGGAGACCCCAACTCAAATGTAAGCTTGCATACAAACAGTAGGAAACTAACGCAGCAGTTACCTGAACCATAACATTGTCACTGTTGACAGCCTCCTGAGCTTCATTGACCCATCTCTTGATGACCTCATGGCTGCCCTTTCCAAGGTGCTGGAAAATGTGACAAATAATGATGTCAAAACACAGCCCAAGAATGTCAAAAATACTCATGTCACAACAGTCCAAACAGAGGGAAAAAAAAACGTTTTCAAATTATCACAATGCTACAACTTACTTTCAAGAACTCGATCTGGAATATAACCCTACATTAGTCTTGTTGAGTTTTTTCTTTTCTACTTTGGATCTAAACAGAAGACACTAATAAATATAAATAGGAATTGGTAAAATGATAGCTAGACATGACTGCTTCCTTTTGAAGCCCTGTAAACTCCTGAAGGAATAGCACTCACCAGAGCAGAGACTAGAGCAGCACTGGAGACTCCAGGAACTTTGTCCACTATGGCTTGCTTCATGTAGCGCTCAATGCTTTGCAGCATGGAATGCTGAAACAGACAGACTACAGGTTACCTTTTTAACAAAACAAAGATTGGGGGGGGGGGGGAGGGGGGGGGGCCTAAACAGTTATCGGACATGTTCAGACTTTAAGCTAACGTAAATTACCTTTATTTGCTTCACATGCCCCAAGTAACAAAACCACAATTGCATATGGGGGGGGGGGGGGGGGGGGGGGAGCCAGGTGTGATCCTCTGTCAGGACAAACAAACACAAAGACAAAATCTTCGTCTGTCATGACTGCAGTGGCTATGTGGCCTCAAATCCTCAGGCTCATGATCTTAATGCCCTAAACACTGGTCAAAAAAGTAAAGGATCCTTTTCCACACCTGCACATGTTTTGGGCTAGACCTATATTTTAAAGATCAATTGGTATTGGGTGGGTGACGTGGTAAGCATAATGCTACCACCTTTACTCTCCACGATTGTACCTGGTATCCATTCAAAGATGGGCTGACCTGGGAGCCAAGACCATTCTTTAAAAAAAAAAGTCTGGCTGCACCATGAATAGTGGTAATTAAAGGTAGTTAATATAGTCCACACTTGTAAAGTGAAGAAGCAGAGAGCAAAGCTACTGCATGCATTTATTACGTCTGTCGAGCCATGCACTATGGTCCATGCACTGAGGTGAAGGATGGTGAACTGTGCCTAGTGGTCAAGAAGGTGGTAGCTGTCACTGGGTTGATTCTGTATCTTTCCTGCCAGCATGAATAACTGTAATTGTTTTGAAAGTGAGATTTTTTTATCTTCTTGTCTAAATTTCCTGCAAGTTACAATGTGTGTGTTTGTTTATAATCTTTATCATCATTGACAGCAAGTCCACAAAGCCCACATAAAGGCTATTCAACTAAGTTTACTCAGGGCCAACATTATTTTAATGGTGATCATCACTGCCCCAGCACTGAAAGATCATGAATACAATACAAGTGGCAATGATCTGCGGGCCACTTGTTTGGCGGCACCCCCCCCCCCCCCTGCAGTTGAATGGCCCTGGTTTACAGCATAAGTCTAGAACAAAATCCCCATACCCAGCTGGAGATTAAACTGATACTGCTGTATGTCAACAACATAAAGATATTCACTACACAGGCAAGCTTGCAATAAAGAAAAACAGAGTAACTTACATCCGTGACAGAACAAAGGGCACGAATGGCAGGACCTCTGAACTGATCCTCTTTGCCCGTCATGTCTTTCATCAGACTGAAAAAGAATAAGGAATGCAATTTATAACACAGCATTCACTGTGAAAGGTCTAGTGGCTAGGCACTCGCCTGCGGATCAGAAGGTCGTGGGTTTGGTTCCTGACAAGGACCAGATTTTTTTCAAAAATGACCTTGTCTCCCAGGTCGACCCAGCCTTGAGTGGGAACCACGTAGTCCTGGGAAGTAAAAGCGGCCGGCGTGATGCTGACATCACCCACCAAGTGCCGATTGGTCTATAAAATATAGGTCAAGCCCTATATACACAATATGCCTTAGAGGCGTGGGAAAGGGTCCTTTACCTTTACTGTGAAAACCCAAGAAATTAAAGCTGAGAGAGTAGCACGCCCATGTTCATCCATGTGTGTCCACCACCCTGTTATGACTGTCACTACAGTATTTTACACCAAGGCTGGTGTCCGGCAGAAGGGTCTGACCTGGTGTCACATACACAGATCATTGTTGGTCCTGTCATTACTGGACACTTCTGGACAGGGGACAACAACAACAACAACCAAGATATCTTCAAGACTGCTGTACAGTATGTTTTAACCAATGCAGGTCACATCAGCCTACGGAGACAAACATTCATAAAAAGATTCTGAGTCTTGATGGCAAAAAAAAGGGAAGACACAGGAGGAGGAGGTGAAGGAACAATTCTGTTTGCACAAGAAATATAGTATTATATGTGCTACGTCGTGGAGGGTCAAAACATGAAATTAATATTTTCTTAAGAGGTCATGAGACAAAGGAAATTCATCATAGGAACTAAAAGAGAAATTTCAGTTATGTGGCAATGTACTAACAGGAAACTCAACACCTGAGCCGGTTCTAGAAAGTTAAAGTCCCAATTTGACCATTTCGGCATCTGTGGCTTAGGCGTTGCAAACGCACTTCGTAATGCCAAGGTACCGGGTTCGATCCTAGCTGTGGACAATTTGTCTTGCATTGGTTTTGGCAGTAGTACCGAGAGCTGACCGTTCAGAGGGCAATGGCAAACTACTGAACGTAAAATTTGCCAAGAAAAACCACAACAGCCAAAAAATTCTGGGGTTGGTTCTGCAATGTCCTGTAAAGGATATGAAACTAACTTTTTTTAAAACCAGAAGAACATCAATAGTATGTGACTACCATGAAAAATAAAAATAAAGAGACAGATGACAGTAAATGGTGAGTACGTGTGTGTGTGTTTATATATATACACAAATATATATTTTTATAGAGATAGCACCTTGTTATAAAAAGAGGTAAGTATATGAACTAATAAACGGCACTAAAGAGTGATGACAGTGGAAACTGATGATCACCACACAAGTGTTTCATGATCACCATACAAGTGTTACACGATCACCATACAAGTGTTATATGATCACCACACAAGCGTTACATGACCACCACACACATTTTACATGACCACCACACACGTTTTACATGACCACCACACACGTTTTACATGACCACCACACACGTTTTACATGACCACCACACAAGTGTTAAAAAAGAGATGATGTTAAAAATCAATGGAACAAATATTTCTGTAAATGATGATGAATCCTGGCTAGCTACAGCTATGAATGAATTACTGATTAGATAGGATTATCATCACAGCACTCCGGACAGATACATGGTGCTCCGATCTCCTCCACAAAAGCTCCACAAGTGTAAAACGACTGATGACACCTGTTCTATGTTGGTTAATGAAACGTCTTGTTCATTTCTTGCAGCTCCAGGCTGCACCCCCATGTCCATCAGTCTAGTTAGGGATATGGGGTCATGTCCTTTGGCGTGCTCCTCGGTAGGGTAAGTAACATCACTTCTGTCCAGTACTGGGCCAGCCATAGCAACCGCAGTGTCAGCAAGTTAGTCTGCACGCTCGTTCCCTTGCACACCCACATAACCTGGCACAAAGATGAAGGTTAGGGCAGATATTCGTGAAGTGCTTAGTGTTTCAATCCATTCTTGCCTGATAAATCCAAATCCAGCTCGGATTTTTTTAAGCATATTCATTGAGTCACTAAGAATGCTTAAGTGTGCATACTCATCGAGTCTCTAAGAATGTAAACTTTTGAGTACCAAGCCATGCTAAAGCCCTTGTTACAGCCACAGTTTCCACTGTAAGGCTACTAGTTGTAACAGCAAAGGCACTATTCATTTCCTTGATGGTTTTCCCCTTTGAGCTTACTGTAAAGGCCCATGACTTCACTTGCCCCTAATTACTGACCCATCTGTGTAAACTATAGCATCACCTTCATCTGGGTCTTCATCAATCAGTGTTCTGACTAAAGTGTCAACAATGCCAGGAATCTGCTCTCTACAGCTTCCATCAAGTGTGATATGGACTGTAATATTAATGTTTGGAGAGGGAGGCAAAATTATCCATTCATTTCCAAAATTAATGTCAGTAGGCAGCAAACATGTTCGATGGCATCCTCAGCCCGACACATCCAGAATTTGCCTCGTTTGAGTCTACTCTTTTTTTTTTTGCTTGAATAATTCCTCATAAAGTGGGTGTCGATGGTCTGACCACTTTGATGAATAAATGAATGATCATCACTGCACTTAACGACATTCCCACATCTTGTACACCAGGCAGGGCAGTTCATCCAACATAGAGATAACTTTCAAAATAAGCCTACCTGCTGGTGACTATGATCACATCCTGAGCAATCTTGGACATTTCTTTGATGCCCAGATACACAAGCCGACGCAGTATTGGCTAAAACATCAGAAAAACAAAAGCAATTTAATTAACAGAAAAAATGAAAAAGATTTTTCACATCTAAAGACTGTGCTTCTAAGAAATGTGACAAGATTAGTTTTAATAAAAAAAACAACAACAAAGAACTAAATAAAAATCTTATAAAAACAAGAGTTTAAGAAATAAAACAACTGTAAGTTTCTAGTTTATCACACTGTAAACACCAGAACCTTAACTCTTCATTAAACTCTTAAATGAAAAGAGGGATGTCTAACGTTTGGTACTATCTTTCTCTCTTTTAATCTGTTGGTACACCTTTTCCCACTACAAGCAGTTACAAAATATTATTCTGCATTTACAAAACGCTGCTTACAGTTAGTTAGTTAGTTGGGTTATCATCATTGCACTCCGGACATGTCCATAGGTGCTCAGATCCTCCCCTCAGTATGAACCCCAACATCCGATGGCTAACACTAAAAAGTCTATTTGGATTAACAAGTCTTCTGGTGTGTCTGGTGCGCGTCTGGTTTTTTGTTATGCCAATCTTAATTCCTAAGTCTGCCATTCTGACGAGTGATGTGGATTCACTGCCCCCCAAAGTCCTCTATCCTTCCCATTTCTCTGAGGGCATTAATAATATCAGCATGATCCATAGGCTGACCGTCAGTGGTGATAGCGGATCCAGCTGCTTACAGTGGCTCTGCGTATCAAGAACACATATAATCTGGTCCTCCTGTGGGTTTTAGGGCTCAATTTGGGGGGGGGGGGGGGCGTGGAGGGTAGACCAGCCCCCACCAATCCCTAACAGGTAAAAGCTGACTAATTAGGGGTTTCCTTCAAAGTCAGTGCATCTGCCTGAGAGGCAAGGAATCAACAGTCTGTATACAAATAAACTAGATCTGTAAAATGACACTGCTTGCAAAACTCAAGCTCTGGAACAAGATTCCAGAAATGGATGAACCAAAACTTTTCACCAGGATTTATAGCCAGTGAAAGCAAAGAAGAAGACATAATATGTGGCTCGTATTCTATATCAGTATGTCTGTTCGGAAAGTCACTTCTGGTAATCAATCTGTATATGTACAAGAATGTCCTCCTCTTTACAACATACAGCTTAGGCAGAATTGCAGAGACCGTGTGTTAACCATGCAGTATGATTCCTCTTTTTATTTGCTTTGGTCAGTTTGGTAATCTTAGTTTCAGCTTCACAGCACACGCTGACTCCATAGCTGCTCCAGTTCTGTGCCAATGAAAAACACACAGAATGTCCATCACTGTCCCTTGTGGAAAAACTGACACAAACTGCAGTCTCAGCATGTCCACATGCACATGCATTTAAAGCGTAAGGCAGCAATCAGAAGTGCCAACACAGAAAGTCTGTCAGTTGAAACGCAATTCATCAGCGATGGCAGCAGCAGTTACAAACAGATCAACAGTTGCATGCACACAATCAATTTTAGTTACATAAGGCATCATCAATTCTGTGGCGATAGCCACATGCCATTTTCTGAATCTATAGTTCACATCACTACGTTGGTGACGGTCAAACAACATTCCAAATGAAATCGGTAGGTCCTAATGTTGAGCCATGCATTCAACTCAGTAGCTGGGTCCTAAACTATATTTTTTTTTGGGGAGCATACAAATGGAGGAAAATGCAACAGCCACTCTCTGTCAGAAGCAAACATTTTCCCTGATTAAAAACAGTCACGGTGCCTATCGTCCATTTTGACCAGAAAATGGCTCCCTATCTGCTTTGTTAAGTCTAAAGGAAAGATAACTTTTTAAAATAATAATGGAAATTTTAACACTGTTATATTAAACAGGAGGATTTCAACGAGCTGCTCTTTGCCGATGATCAGTGCATATTCTACAGTGAAGGTAAAAAGCTACAGGACCGCATAAAAAAAACCGAATGAGAGCTGCTTTAAACATCACATGAAGATGAATACTGAAAAAAAAACAGAAGTCATGAGAATAAATAGAGAGAAACAAACCATCAACATAAAGATCAAAGTCTGAAACAAGTGCAAGAATTTAAATACTTGTTGCGTGCTGATTTGGGTAAAGTGTGATATTGTGTGAAGGGACAGTGGTATGAGAGTACTTCTATGAGTTCACGGGAAATTGTCAACATTGGCTCGATGTTGACCAGTGAGAAGGGTAGTGCCACGAGAAAGTGGACTCGTGGGTTACGGTGTGGGGGCTGAAAGCATGGTTAACGAGATATACAGAGAAAGTGTGAATTACGTGACAGCGTGATTCTCAGGTAACATCAGCCACCCACATAAGCGTGATCCTCGAGAACGCACACATGAGCGTGAGTCTCGAGAACACCCACAGGATCATGATTCACGAGAACGCCCATACGAGCGTGCCTCTCGTGTAAACATCATCAACCCACTCGAGTTCGACGGGGATAAATTGGGGGGGGGGGGGGGGGGGCTGAGTAGTCAGTCCGAGGCAGTTGGAGTCAAAGAGAGAGAGCGCGAGAGAGACAGAGACCAGTCAGGGTCTGTGATTTTCTCTCTCGGGTCTAACAGACAAGAATATCGTACGACTATCAGGCATCAAGGTCTGAGTTAGTGTTGAGGTTGCGGTACTGGTCGAAGGTATGGTCCCGCTGGCGAAGTAAGTCCAGGGGATGGGATGCTCCAGTAGTACTTGTTCTGGGTGGCAACGTAGTGAAACGTAGGAGGACCACTAGTGAAACAGAACAGGGGGGTGATACCGACGAGAGCTGTGTGCTAGAGGGAACTTATGGTAGAAGTCCTGTTAGTCATCGGAGCCCTTCGACAAGCTGACGAAAGCTGTGTGCTTTTGGAGTACGGCAAGGAAAGTCCGTCTCCAGTCAGCCGTGGTTGTCTGCTGAAATAATATTAAGGTCCAGTGGATAGGAGAATTCGTCTTATTCAGCTGTACGGCGTGTCCAGATTGTGGGACACTGTAGTCCTTGGAGCTGTAGTGGTCAAGGAGAGATCGCTACAAATTGAGAGAGAGAGCGAGTGAGGACTAATGGACTATGTGCGAATGTCAACTGTGATCAATGTCTACGTCTCTGCAGTTTTGTTGATGTGGGGGCTGGTGTATACCCTCTTGTGTTCTGTCAATTAAAGATGCTATGTGACGGAACTATTGTCGTCGAGTTCTGTTTCCAAGTGAGGGAGCGAAAGTACATCTTTAGACACTTGGTAGTGTGCTGATTAGTGTGTAACTCAGATAGCACACAACAATACTTGGGAAGCATCTTTACACACAATGGTAAAATGGACAATGAGAAAGAAATGAGAATCCAACATGCCAACAATGTCACATATCAACTTGCTCCAATTTTAAAACACCCGGCTATCCCAATAGAGACAAAAACACAAATTATAAATACAATATTTATACCCACTTGTGGTTAACAATGTCAGACTTGGACATTGACAAAAGAAGACCAAAGAAAACCAACCACCTATGAGATGAGATGTTTGAGAATGGCTGTGAATAAAACCAGAAGAGATCGAGTGAGAAATCAGGTGATCACAAGAACTGTTGGAACAACACTCATCGTCAAGTTTATTAAGAATCAAAAAATGAAATGGTTTGGCCATCTAATGAGAATGAAACCAACAATGCCAGCAGCAAAAGTGTACAACCTGAAAATCAAACAATCAAGTGGCAGGGGAAGACAGAGAAGGAGTCACTGACACAATGTGTCTGCATAACATCACGGCATATCAAGCGACTGATCGTGCCTTGGCTCGGCTGCCGATCATCTGATAAAAACATGAGCTGTAAAATCCAACCAATCATAAAGAAGTTGACATTTGCTTGAGTTGGCTAAGGGCTATGATCCACTGGGAGATGAAGGAGAAACATTTATACAGAGAATCACTCAGTGTAAGATTATACTTACATCTTTGGATTGAAACAGTTTGGTCATTGCAAAGAATGCTTCAGTTGCTTCAGTCGTTCCAAGACTTTCACCCTGCCGAGAAAAATACAATTAAGTATGAATATGGCAGAGCCCTGAAATAGTGATAGATCTAAACTGACATGTCGAACCTGTTACTCTCTATAACAGTGAGAGATCTAAACTGACATGTCAAACCTGTTACTCTCTATAACAGTGAGAGATCTAAACTGACATGTCAAACCTGTTACTCTCTATAACAGTGAGAGATCTAAACTGACATGTCAAACCTGTTACTCTCTATAACAGTGAGAGATCTAAACTGACATGTCAAACCTGTTACTCTCTATAACAGTGAGAGATCTAAACTGACATGTCAAACCTGTTACTCTCTATAACAGTGAGAGATCTAAACTGACATGCTGAACCTGTTACTCTCTATAACAGTGAGAGATCTAAACTGACATGTCAAACCTGTTACTCTCTATAACAGTGAGAGATCTAAACTGTTATGTCAAACTTGTTACTCTCTATAACAGTGAGAGATCTAAACTGTTATGTCGAACTTGTTACTCTCTATAACAGTGAGAGATCTAAACTGACATGTCAAACCTGTTACTCTCTATAACAGTGAGAGATCTAAACTGTTATGTCGAACTTGTTACTCTCTATAACAGTGAGAGATCTAAACTGACATGCTGAACCTGTTACTCTCTATAACAGTGAGAGATCTAAACTGACATGTCAAACCTGTTACTCTCTATAACAGTGAGAGATCTAAACTGTTATGTCAAACTTGTTACTCTCTATAACAGTGAGAGATCTAAACTGTTATGTCGAACTTGTTACTCTCTATAACAGTGAGAGATCTAAATTGTTATCTTCAACCTGTTAATCTCTATAACAGTGAGAGATCTAAACTCTTATGTCGAACTTGTTATTCAAAGATCTAAACTGTTATGTCAAACTTGTTACTCTCTATAACAGTGAAAAATCTAAATTATGTTGAACCTGTTAATCTCTATAACAGTGAGATATCTAAACTCTTATGTCAAACTTGTTATTCAAAGATCTAAACTGTTATGTAGAAGTTGTTATTCAGAGATCTAAATGTTATGTCAAACCTGTTATTCTCTATAACAGGAGATATCTAAACTGTTATGTTAAACCTGTAATTCTTTATAACAGTAAGAGATCTAAATGTTATGTCGAACCTGTTATTCTCCATAACAGGAGATAAACTGTTATGTTGAACCTGTTATTCTTTATAACAGGAGATATCTAAACTGTTATGTTCAACCTGTTATTCTCTATAAGAGGAGATTTCTAAACTGTTATGTTGAACCTGTTATTCTCTGTAACAGTAAGAGATCTAAAATGTTATGTTGAACCAGTTAGTTATTCTCTATGGCAACAAATTTTGGAATGTAAACGCACAAATCAGGAAAAGCACAGAGACTGTGGAGATGTGGTAGAACAGGCACTGCCCAAGAGCGATTGTGCTGGACAGACTCAGACGGCGGCATGTAACTTAAAAAAAAAAAAAACCCCAAACACACACCTATATATATACACACACGCACGCACGTATACAGAGAGAGAGAGAGAGAGAGAGAGAGAGAGAGACAGAGAGAGAGACAGAGAGAGAGAGAATGACAGAGAGACCGACAGAGAGAGAAAGAGAGTAAAGTCAGTCAAAGCCACAGTGACAAATCATTTAGTATCATAATCAAGTTATCCAAAATGTGCATGTACCAACACAACAATCAATAAAAATGAGTACAGTAATTTATGAAAATCCCAGTAAACAGGTCTCAGAAACTGTCAACTACTTGTTTCAACCACCATGGAAAACCATGACAATGATGAGGACAATAAAGAAACTCAATAGAAGTGTCAACAATAAAGCAGACAAAACATTTGTGTGACAGTTTTTGACAGTCAAGTTTTACCTGGTTGATGATATACAGAACTTTGGTCAAAATGTAGCCACATTTCCTTGGGTTGATGGGAGTCTCATTGAAGGTTCGAGCCTAATAATGAAAACAGTGGAATCAGTTTATGTCTTTGTCTGACAATTTACCACAGTAGGTTTGTTGGCATGTAATGCCAAATCTTCATCCCTCTTTCAAAATATGTGAATAACACATTAACATATTCACACAATCAAATTCACAGCAGGTTAACTAGCCAATTTAATCTTCTTCTTCTTTACGTTCACCAGCTGTAAACTGGTTGTTTGCCACTTCTGAACTTTAGTCTTGTTCCAGAAACTGAGTGTTGCACGCGCATCTGTTTTACAGATCTCACTTGTTTTTGTATGCAGATTGTTGGTTCCTTGCCTCTCAGGCAGATGTACTCTGACTTCAGAGGAAGCACCCAGTTAGTCGACGCTTAAAACATGCTTGTTAGGAAGGCAGTAGGGGCCCCAGAACAGGGGATGTCTAACTATTCAGTTGAGTGCTTGGTGCAATATTATCAGGTGTGGATTTCATGTGAAATATTTTTGTATTATGTCTGCAATAGCTTTGTGTTGTGAATAGCACTAATAAAAGGGCAGGCTGCAGATTACGTTTGTCTATTTATGCATTACTGCCTGTCCAATGCTGGCTTACATAGCATTTCTGGTGGGACTGACATCTGAAGGCTGCCTTATGCATTATCTGTGTGTGTGTGTGTGTAAACTTCAAGATGTTGCTGGGACTGACAAGTTTTTCACTAGTTTTTAACAGGGACAGTGAAGGACATTTTGTGTGATCACCACTGACATAGGGAAGGACGGATCAGTTCTGGGCCAGTTCGTCTGCAGTGACACTGGAACCTCAACTAATGACGGTCAATCCCACTATATGATAACCTCCTGCATAGCATCAAAGCTAACCATATTTTCTGCTTTATATCTATCTGTCATCTTTCTCTGCTTTATAGCTACCTGACATCTTTCTTTGCTTAATGATGTTAAGTGTTGCAGACACAGCTAATGATCGTTTTCTGGCATACTAAGTGCTCGTTAGTTTGCTGCATGATGATGCTGAGTTTCAGTAAGTTAACTCCATTTTTCTTCTTCTTGGCTTTCCTCTACCTATTGATGTTTCCATTCTCATGTTTTATGCTCTTGCAAACTGTGAAGCTGGATTCATTCTGACCAGATCCCCAAAGCATTTAAGTTTCTGTTTTTCAATAAATCTAATTACAGGTTTTGCTCCCACCTTTCTAATTTCTTGTACAATCTCTTTTTTTAATAGGGTGACTGCACTTTTCTCAGACAGCTCATTTCCCACTTTGTTTTGGTGAATGTTTGTTAATTTTTATGTTGATATTTTGATGCTGCCTGTTTATATTCATAATTTATGTTTTTCAATGCTAATCTTCATGCTATAAAAACTTTAACATGAAAACTTGATTCTATGAAAACTTGCATCACACAAACAGCCATGTCAAATAAACATCACGTCTGTGATGTAATACAGCTTTAGCCATTCTTGCTCAGGAGTATGAAGTAGGGATGATTGCCTCCATCCATTTACTTCTCAGAATATCACTAGTACCCATTTTATTATGCTGGGTTGACCATAAGATCCAAACAATCTGGAAAAAAAAAGATGAGAACTCAGCCTGCAAACAAAAGTCTGGAACTAACCTCTTGTAAAACTGTACTCTTTTCCAGATTGTTGAAGGGGTTTGCTCCTCCTGTGAAAAAACAGAGCAATAACAATGTGGAATCAATCTGCATTACAGTAATTCAATTATCAAACTTTTGTATATTAATCAGACAGAATGTGTTACAATGGTTTTAAACACTGTACTGGTTACCTACATAAGTGTGTGGCCTTTTTTGTAGATAGGGTGCCGGTAATGTAGACAGAGTATCAGTCCTTTCCATAATCATAATCCTGACACAGTAATGTCACTGTTGACACCAGTTTACACTAGAAAATCTAAAATGTAACTGGTAATGCAGTCACATTTAACAAAAGTGTTTATGCCAAAAATGCTTTCCTTGTACTGCTTGAAAGATAACCTTCATTTGTAATGGAGTAGTGATTCACGAACAACCACATCATAAGGTGACAAAGCACCCCGAAGCAATGTGTGCAAACTGACAACAACACAACTAATTTCGTACAATCTATTGCCACCAGCATTAGTACTGTTGTCTGAGAAATGCAACATTGTTATCAATAGTAAAAATATGTCCCTCAACATTATTTAACTGAAAGCGAGAGTTTTCAGCAAACAGCCTTTGCTCCATTGTTCTTGGCATTAGCAGACACGCACACACAAAAACAAAAAAGTGTCCATTGGAACAAATAAGAGCTTATAGTGAGTGGCAGGTGCCTTCTCAATTACTTCCTTGCAGAACCTGTTAGTTTCATCTGCGATGAAAGTCACCAGCTCTCATAAGTGCTCCATCCCCATCTTCAGCAGCAAGCAAAGAGTTCTAATTCTGATGGCCCCAGTAACCGTCTGATTGTATATCAGTCTCATCCTTATTCTGAGTATAAAGTGTCGGCCAGATCCCCTGGTAACTCTTCGCAGGGCCATTCTCTTCAGACTGTAACGATCTATCTGCGCCTCCACACTGTTCACTCGTTCCAAAAGAGCCCTCACAATATCTAGCTTGTCATACATCAATTCACCACCAACTCGTGCAGAGCCAGCCAGTCTCTCTGCCTGCTGGTTTTAGATTTTTCATTTTACAGGCAGGACCTGGAGAAAACATCCAAAAGATGCTAACCACCCGGGACCTCTGAAGTGATGCTTGCCACTCTGCACGAAGCATGCCTGTCTTCAGCTTTCTTAACTGTAAAATGGATGTGCATGCACGTAGGTTCTGGAATACAACTAAAATCCAGATGTGGACGAACAACCAGAACTTTCTGAAGTTTACAGCCAGTGAACATTAAAAAAAAAGAACAAAGCAACTGGATAACATATGAAAATGGGTTACTTGGACCTAAATTGTAAGAGCTAATGTTCCAAGCTTCACCATTAATAACAGTAACATCAAAAGAGAAAGCAAACTGAGGTACCTAGGTATCATTTTTGATAGAACCCTGAATTTAAGCATGAAACCCCAGGTAGAGCTAAGGGTTATAGAAAATATGAAGGTCTTGAATGGCGCAAGCTGAAGACACAATTAGACATATGCAGGCTTAATAAATTTTGACAAGGAGAGGAGTAGGTCAAAGTATAAGAGCAAGTTTCAGACTTGTGTAGGGTTCTAATCACCTTAGGTTGTGAGTGCAGGGACTGACCAGCTGGTGCTGCAAAAAGAGTTCAACAAAGGATTCATGACAATTCCCACCTGGTGATGTGATTGTATATACAGATGGCCCTGTGTTGAGGGGCAGATGAAGTGCATGGGAGCTCATAGCAAAAGCAAATGGACCTTGCTTAGTACCACAAAGTCTGGCATATATCACATCACGTCTAGTTTGAAAATGGAGGTGGAGGCAGTCACTTCTGTCTTCCTCTGGCTTGAGAATCAGCTGTACACACATGCCGTAATTGTAACTGACTCACATAGCATGTTGAGAAAGGTGGAGACAGGCATGTTTCGTGCAGAGTGGCATCACTTCAGAGGTCCCAGGTAGTTACAGTCCTTTAGATATTTTCTGCATCACTTCGTGGTGAATTGATGTATGACACGCTGGATGTTGTGAGGTTCCATCAAGAGTGAGTGAACAGTACAGAGGCACACAAAAATCATTACCGTCTCAGGAGAATGGCGCTGTGGGGAGTTACAAGGGGATCTGGCAGACGCTCAACACTCAAGGGACGGGCGACAGGGATGTACAAGCAGACAGTTACTGGTACCATTGTAACTGGAACTCTCCGCTTGCTGCTGAAGATGGGGACGGAGTTCTTATGGGAGTGTCCTGAGTACTGTGTCATTGATTCTAAATTCTACATTCAACATTTGGATCTAAATATATAGCTAATGTGTACTGCCCTTTGACATAAGAGATAAGTGCATAGTAATCTGTAAGGAAAGTCGAAAAATGTGTTTTACACCTACAGCAGTGGGGGGTGTCAAGAAACCAGATAACTTGTAAAGATGTGCTTAACCTCAGGAGAAAATATTTCGGTTCCTCTTCGAACTTCTACCCGATATTATGGCGGCCAAACAAATACCCTAACAGGGCCTCAGTCATATGTAGAATGCAGACTTCCTGCCGAGGAACAATCACGGCAAAACTAGGATCGGCTCCAAATAACGAAACAAATGCTCTAACAGGGTCTCAGCGATATGTTAACTGCGGACCTGTTTCTGCGACTATGCCGCACCCCCGACAGTATTCCCCGCGCCGCCTGGTTAGGGGGTTAAACTAGATGGCTGGAACTCACAAGCAGCTGCTACAGCATCTCCTGCAACTTCCTCCAATTTATTTGCTCATGAGTCCTAGCCATCTAGTTTAGATCCCCATCTGCGCCGCACGTAGCGGCGCAGGGGATACTGTTGGCGGTGAGTTTAACTGCGTTTTATGCAGACCGAAAGGTGTGAAGACAACAACAACGCTAATCTGCTTCGGAGCGTGTGGTCTCCCTGCCATGTTGCTATTATCGTCTGTAATGTTGCATATCTCGAAATAGTCAACGGTCGCTATTATCATTTGCTACTATCGTCTGCAGTGTTGCGTCTCTTGAAATTGTCAAGTAATCATAGTTTTGCTGCGATGAGTTCATCGCACACGACTGAGGCTCTGTTAGGGTATTTGTTTGGCCCCTATAATATCGGGTAGAAATTCGGAGGAGAGCCAATATTTCTTCCTGTGCAAAGCTTCTATAGGTGTTACTGACACTTTTTATAGAAAATTATGACGCAGACAATATTTAATAATGCTAGTATTGTTAGACCTGAGACTGTACAGACACCAAATGCCACAGCCACAAGTAATAGGATGTATTCAGCCTACTAGTACTAGTACTAGCTACTCTTCAGAACTTCAGACTTGAGGTGGAACAAATAGGTCCTCAGCTACTGTATCGTTTTCTTATTCCACACATGTTTAACATAATGTTAAACGAATAAACAGGTTTCACTTTCTGTTTTAACTGTTAAAGCAAGAGAACAATTATATCTCCACTATTTAGTGAAGTTTTAGGTTTAGTAGTGATAGTCTAGTAAGTGAAAACTAAACAGAGAAATAACCTCTAGATGTGCCAAAGCTAATCAAGTAATGGGTCAACTATCTCCCCTGTTGACACACAAGCAGATACCTCGGAGTACTAAAGTGAATCTTATCAGAACTATTTTTTGGCCAACACTATGCTATCAATGCCAAACGTTGACACTTACATCCTCCAATGAATGTAAAATTGTGACAACAGAGATGAAATGCCTTAGAAGAGCTGCAGGAGTTTCAAGGAAAGACAGAATATGAAATCATGAAATCAGACGCAATGCTAGGAATAAAACCAGTCTTACAAGTCATCAAAGAACAACAAATATAGTGGTTTGGACACCTAACAAGAATGCCCTGGTATTATCCAACACAGCGAGCGACACTAAAACGTTACAACGGGTATAGAGCGAGTGGAAGACCTCGGAAAATAAGGAGTGATGGCATTAACCCTACAAGACCGCTGGCCCGGTTTCCCGGGAATTTCATAAATGTTCTTCATACCGCTGGCTCAGGTTATAGTTAGGGACATTTAATTTAGGTTCAGGGCCTTAGGTCTGGTAGGGTTAAGAACAGCCTTACAGAAATGAACATGAGTCTAAATAGTGCTCTTGACAGAGCTCATCCCCCCCCCCCCGACACTTCGATGAGGTAAAAGGTGGAAGAGAAGAAGAAGAAGTCTAGTAATAAGTAGCTGAACCCGTAGCGTAGCCTCCGGTTGATTGGTCGTTATCGTTATCGATAACTAGTCACACTGGCAAATAAATGGTAAATAGCTTGCACCAGCTAATTAATAGGCTGCTTTATTATCTGTACGAGAAATTACTACTTGTATTTAATTCACTCACCATCTTCTTCTTCCTTTTTGTCCCTTTTAAGTGACAACATTCTCCGATTTAATCGTAAAGTTGCGCTGGAAGTTTGAGCAGGAAGTTGCCAACGTCTAGCAGAACACGTCACGTACAAGCAGACGGGGTCAGAGGTTACTCTACCCATAGTTCTCTAACGGGCACATCCTACCTATCTTTGATCTTCAATAAAAACTATTCGTCTATTAACTATTTAGTAAAGTGACACTAGATAACCCGTCCCTAAATGGGACACAATTTGTTTAAGGCCTACCCTGGCTGAACTTCAGGTTACTTCGTAACCGTCATCAGGAACCTAATATAGCCTTAGGGTTGAACGGGGTTTCTGAGACTTGCACCTGGGGGATTCTAATCCGAATGGTAGCACTTTGTGTCACCAGATGTTATTTGCTCGTTGTGCGGTCCTGACGTGGTTAAACGTCACTCACTCGCTCAACTATTAAGTTTAGACTAATCAGAACCCACCCACGCTGGATTACATGCTACTTCATAACCTTGTTGTGGTGCTCCAATATAAAATGTACTTGACATATGGCTGTATTATTATTGAACGTGGTTTCCAGAACTTATAGCTGTTTGATTCTCATCCTTGAGATGTTAATCCCACAGAATGCAAATCTGGATGAGATAAAACTTTTTAGCTAAAATAAAAGATAACAAACACTCTTATTTAAGCAATATTGTAGATTAAAAAAAAAAAGTAAAAGGCGAGCCAACAAAAAGCAGTTAGAGATACAAGTGAAAGGGTTGGGGCTGTTTTTATAAAAGAAAAAGAAAGATGCTAGTACTCACCACAAGGCTATCATACAGCAATGCACAGATAAAATAGCATTCAAAGTCTATGGTTATGCACCAGCAAGGAAATCAATATTAAAACATGCGGATGTGCTTCGTGGACTATCTCCAAGTCCTTAAGATAGAAAATATGGGCTTTTGAGCTGAAATGCTATAGAAAGATATCAGAATACAATGGAGAAAGAAGAGAAGAAATACTGACATTTTAAACGATTTGAACATCAAGGAAGATTGGCAAATAAACAGCACCTTGTCTCGAATGCTGAAATATTTTTGTCATATCAAGCGCCATCGCGGATTGGAGAAAATCAAAGCAGAAAGTATGGTACCAGGAAGGAGAGACAATGGCCGACCAGCACGAAGATGGGCCCAGGATATACGTAACTCCTTGAGTATGAAAGTACACAAAGCTGGCGAGAGACCGAGTTTCTTTCAGACAGACCGTGATGAGAGCGACGTTCTGAAAAGGACTTGCTACATGATGATTAGATCACCATAAAGTGTCCAGAAAGGTGCCGGTACTCGCCACAAAGTGTCTTAAAATATGCCGGCACTTAACCACACAATATCTTATTACAACTGCCGTGACAAAATGATGCCAGGAACAAAGCCACGGGGATGATATTACCAAGAGATGGGCGAACAATTGTCTAAGAGACTGTACATCCAATGATGAAAAAAAAAAAAAAATGAAGAAGTAAACATGAGAGAGTTACTGCAAGGGAATCGGCATGGATATGCCCTGCCCCCTTCCCCCCTCCCGAGCCTTCATCTGTGCAAGGAAACAATGAGATTATATTTTCAGCCTAAAATAAAGGACAAACTGACAAACAAGGAATTCATTACTGTACACATTTTCAAATAATACTGTAGGGGTAAATAGAAGGCAAGAGGTAGTCAGCGATTCATTGGGGAATGACAGTATTAGTAAATGGACTAACAGCAGTCTGACAGAGTGTACAACCAATTCGAGAAAAGCCAGCCTTCACCGTGAAGGGGACATCTGACTGATTGATTGTTTATTCACAAAACTTATTTGTCAATTTTCCTCCCTTCATATTCATTCATTCATTCAGTAGCATGTCCCTCGCGGAACCTCGCTGCCATAACAACCCTCCGGAAAACCTTCCTATCCTGAGCAAGATGTCCTGCGTCTGATACACCCATCTGGAGATCATCTGCCACATCCTGCACCCATCTTCTCCTTGGCCTTCCTCTTCCTCTGTTCCCAGGCATATACCCCTCCATTATTGTTCTCTCTAGACTTTCATGACGTTTCAAGTGACCAAAATATTTCAATTTTCTTTGTTTTATTGTCTTTACTAGCCAACCCTCTTCAATATTCAGCTCTTGAAGTATGGATGCATTTGTTCTTTTCTTCACCCAAGATATTCTTAGAACCTGTCTGTAACCCTTCATATTACCATTTGTTTATGGCACGTGACCACAGTTTCCATGACGTCACCCTCTTGACGTCTGCGGATAGGGGTCGTGCCTAGTAACCGGAGGCCATTTTGTCTGGTTTGGCAACACTGAGCGAAAAATCGTCGCTCGTTTGTGCTTCTGTGACTTTCTCTTTGTGATTTCATATGTTTTATGGACTATTCACGGTATAATATTCAGAAAAATGTAACGGAGAAACAAGAAAAGTGGTTTGGAAGACTCCCAAACAATTGGAAAGTATGGAATTATGACAACTACTATTAAAGTGAAGCCTCTCCCGGTTGGGCAGCATCGACAACCGCTGATTGGGAATACAATGTACACACACACAATGGAAGGTAGTCATTCACACCATCTTCCACCTCTTGCAAGTCAGACAGTTGGAGGAGGCAGTAGTGGGCATGGTGTTAGGGTGCAGCAGTTGTTCGAAGAGCAGTATAAGCATCACCCAGAGAAACTGGAAATTATTCAAAATGGCGGCGGTGGCGGAGATGACCAGATACAGTCTCAAGTGATTGCTCGTCCAAGTTCCAGTGCTGGGAGTGCTGGCAGCAAGGGATCTGCCGTTAGGAGAGGTAACAGACTGAGTCCTGAAAGTGCCGTCAAACAGTACGTACAGAAGCTAAGTTCATATGAACAGCAGGAAATCTTCAGTTATCAAGAGGTATACTTTGTTGGCCAGAACGCCAAAAAGAAGCAGGGAGTGATAGGAGGCTCAAATAACAACGGGTATGACGATGAAAATGGATCTTATGTGCACGTGCCTCATGATCATATATCATATCGTTTCGAAGTCTTGAAAGTTATTGGAAAAGGTAGCTTTGGACAGGTGGTCAAGGCGTATGATCATAAGCACCAAATTCATGTAGCTTTAAAAATGGTGAGGAATGAGAAACGTTTCCACAGACAAGCTCAGGAAGAGATCAGAATTTTAGAACACCTGAAAAAGCAGGATAAAGACAATAACATGAACATTGTGCATATGTATGAACACTTCACATTCAGGAATCACATTTGTATTACATTCGAACTTCTAAGCATGAACTTGTATGAGCTGATAAAGAAAAATAAATTCCAGGGATTTAGCTTGCAGTTAGTTCGGAAATTTGCACATTCTATTCTGCAGTGCTTGGATGCTCTTTATAAGAATCGAATTATTCATTGTGATCTCAAACCTGAAAATATATTGCTCAAGCAACAAGGACGTAGTGGCATTAAGGTGATTGATTTTGGTTCTAGCTGCTATGAGCACCAGCGCATTTACACGTACATCCAGTCTAGGTTTTATCGAGCACCAGAAGTAATAGTAGGGGCCAAATACGGTATGCCAATCGATATGTGGAGCCTAGGTTGCATTTTAGCGGAACTTCTAACAGGCTACCCATTGTTTCCAGGCGAGGATGAAGGCGACCAGTTGGCTTGTATTATTGAGCTGTTTGGAATGCCGCCTCAGAAACTTCTTGAACAGGCAAAACGGGCTCGTAATTTTATTTCATCAAAAGGGTATCCTCGGTACAGCACTGTAAGTACATTGCCAGATGGCAGCACTGTATTACAAGGTGGTCGTTCAAGAAGAGGAAAAACTCGTGGGCCACCTGGCAGTAAAGATCTGGTCACAGCACTCAAAGGTTGTGATGACCCATTGTTTTTAGATTTTATGCGACGAGCTTTGGACTGGGATCCGCAGCAGAGACTCACACCAGCACAGGCACTACGACATGCCTGGCTGAGAAGACGGCTACCAAGGCCGCCCGCCTTTAATAGTGAAGTGAAATCAGACTCTGCCATCAGACGAAATTCTTCCAGCAATCGCAGTATGGGAATGCCTAAACTGGCAAATGGAGCTTTAACCACTGCCAGTGGGAAGGCACGGCAGATTGCTATCCAGGATGATTTGGCGTCACAGCTGAACACACGAACAAAGTTGCCCCAGATTGGTTCAACCATGTAGACAGTGTCATTGCTCTTGGGGGATTATGTCTGCACAATAATGTGGTGGAATCTCCGGTCTGACTTCAAGAAGGATTCATGGAGAACAAATGAATTTAGACATTCACAACTTTTACACATTCATTCATTTTTCTTAGTGATTTTACAATGTTTATTTATTTTGAGTAATTTTTTTTGGGTACTAAATATATACTTTTACATATCAGAGCAGACATTTATAATGTTTTTATTGTTTGCCTCTCAGAAGCCATCATTATATCATGTTTTAAAGTTTCTACATAATTTTCCCATGATTTCTGGGGTACTTTTGAATGTTTTTGATTGTTTTCAGTGTTACAAAGCTGGATTCCTTTATTTGCAGATCTGTGTTGTTAGCTTTTAGTTTACTCAAAGGTCATCCAGCAAACGGTATAGCTTTGTACTTTTGTTTTGGTACGCTGTATGTTTTGCCATTAGCGTGCAATCACCTCAGGTAATCACAACATATACTGTATTCATCTATTGCATAAAGAATACAATTTTCATGTTGTTGTTTGTTGTCAGTTTAAATGTGGGAGAAATCAAAAACAAAAACATCTTAACAAATTTTCTTATTTAAAAAAAAAGTGTAAATTAAAATCTGATAAATAATCCTAAATGAAGCTGTGTGAGATTTCTGAATTCATCTACGATGTAACTATGGAAAACCCTTGTGTTGAACAGGAAGGACAATTATCAGATACATTGCACCGCTATATTTATTTACCCCTGAAAGCAAGTTGGCAATTAATATTGTCTTAAATATTTATTGCCTTGTGTGTGGGTAATTTATTTTTCAGTTACCTGTTCTTTTTAGAACTGACTGTTGTTCTCTTTTATTAAACTTAAACTGTCTGTTCGACCAGGTCTCGGATTTGATTTTTTCAAATTTTCATTCAGTGAAACAGAGTTGCATCTGTCATGCCATGCATAATGTTGATGTCTTTTAAACCTGTTTTTACCAAATTTTATTGTCTTGACAGTTTTGTTCATTCCAATTGATTTTGTTTATTTTATAATTCTGTTTCTCTTGATTTATTCCCAGTTAGTGAACAAACAAAAACAAAGTGACTCATGGTTGTTGTTATTGCAGGAATCTTTTTGTTGTCACTGAATTACTTGTAACTTTGTTTAGGAGTACAGTCGCTCAAATATCTCCCAGTATATTAAAAAAAAATAGATGTTGGCATGGTTATTTATTGTGCCCTTTTAATTAGATCCACTGGGATTTAGTTTTAGTTAAGCTTTTGTGTGACTGCTAACATTCACAGCAATCAATAACCCAGTAAAAAATGACAGTTTATGAAAACAGGATGTCAGCAGTAAGGTGTGCTAGACAATGGTCTGTTGGACTGAAGGTTGTGAGGTCGAGTCGGCATCTTAGCATATAAAAAAAAAAAAAAGCATTGACCTTGGGAAGTAAAGGAGGCTGGCATGACGTCAATCACATCATCCATGAATGGCTGATTGGTGCATAATAATCTGAGTCAAGCATCGTGTGCCTGATGCATCACTGGCATCAAAGTAAAGGACCCTTCTCCAGGCCTTCAGGCGTATTGGGCAAATAAGGCAAGACCTATATTTTATAGACCAGATGGCACGCTGGGGGTGATGTGGTTAACATCAAGCGGGCCGCGATACTTCCCGGGACTTTCTCTGGTTCCCATTTAAGGCTGGTTCGACCTGAAAGCCAAAATCATTTTTTAAAAAGTCTGTCTCCGTTTGGATTTAAACTTGCAAACTTTGGATCCGCAGGCGAGCATTTAACCGCTACTCCACAACGGCTCCCAGTGGCGTTCTTTATTTTATTTTGTAATAGGATGTCAGATAAGGATGCGTAGTCTCTCCTACTGAGAAGGATACAAGCTTTCAATTTCTTTTATGCGTTTGGTTTTTTAAAAGTTTGAAATGTATTTAGAAGAGATTTAGTATACTCCAATCTGCTGACAGATTGTTAGCCTTTACTGAGCTGTTAACACTGATTTCCACTGTGAGCTTACAAATAATTCAGAGTTTTGATTAGATTTATAACTGGGAGCTACAGTAGCGGAGTGTCTAGCACTCTGAATCGGAACTCTTCGTTTGCTGCTGAAGATGGGGACGGAGCGCTTATGGGGGTTTCCAGAGTATTGTAAAGTCGATAATTCAATATTCAATATAATTCTTTTCTTATATAAAAATATAGGATTTAGTATGACAGTTTACTCATCATCTTGCTATTTGCTGCATATTTGTGATAGATCTGTTGGTTAGTCACATTCTGTGTACCCTTTAGGAGACTTCCTAGTCATGCCTAATAGATGGTGGTCTTGTGTTCAGATCCCCATAAAGGCAAACATCTTTTCATTTAATTGTCAGTCCAACCTAATGGGCGGGCCTGGACATTTTCTGGTGAGTGTAGTCAACCGATAGTGGAGTTGTGGGAAACAATTTTTAGTGAATCAGGAGGTAGGAAAAAAAAAGACACTGGCATTCTTCTTCTTCTTCTTCACTTCCTCTTTTACCGCTGTGGGTGTCGAGGGAGATAAAAGGTTCTGTTTCTGGCTCTTCTGGCCGCCTCGACCATAGGCACATCGTGCTGTTGTAGAGCTTCTCTGATGTTATCCTTCCATCTTGTTCTTGGTCTACCTCTTGCTCTACGACCTTCTTCTCTTTCCATGTATGCTTTGTATGGTATGGTGTCACAAGACATTCTCTCTAAGTGGGCAAACCATTTCACTGTCTTTGTATGTAATTTAGAATTGGTTCTGTGCCGACTTTTTCTCTTATGATCTCATTCCTGATTTTATCTCTTATGGTCACTCCTACAGCCCTTCTCAGACATCTCATTTCCATGGTTACTAATTTTCTTTTATAGTTTGTTGTGAGTGACTATGTCTGGCAGAATAAATATGCTTTGAATAAGATGTCTCTTTGTGCTGATTGGGATTGTCTTATGCTGTAAGAGGGGCGCTAGCTGTCCCAATACTTGGTTTGCTTTACTGCATCTAATGTTAATTTCTTTATCCAATTTCCCACACTGGCATTGGATGTTGAATTAACAATTGACATCAGAGCACTCTGGACACTCCCATGAGTGTTCCGTACCCATCTTCAGCAAGCAAAGAGTTCCAATTCCGATGGCACCAGTAACCGTCTGATTGTATATCTGTCTCATTCTTCCCCTGAGTGTTGATCATCAGCCAGATCCCCTGGTAACCGTCGCAGCACCATTCTCCTAAGACCGTTATGATCTATCTGAGCCTCCGCACTGTTCACTCGTTCCCAAAGGGCCCTCACAATATCTAGTTTGTCATACATCAATTCACCACCAAGTGGTGCAGACCCGGCCTGTCTCTATCTGCCTGCTCATTTCCCAACACTCCTACATGACCTGGAGAAAATATGCAAAGGATGCTAACCACCCGGGACCTCTGAGGTGATGCTTGCCACTCTGCACGGAGCACGCCTGTTTCCACCTTTCTCAACATGCTCTGTGAGTCAATTACAATCGCGGCATGTGCTGATTCTCAAGCCAGCGGAAGACAGCAGAGACTGTCTTCACCTCCATTCTCAAGCTAGATGTTGTGATATCATATGCAAGGCTTTTCTGCACTAAGCGACATCCATTTGCCTTTGGTATAAACCCCCATGCACTTTGTCTGCCCCTCAACACAGAGCCATCTGGGCGGGAATTTTCATGAATCATTTGTTAAACTTCTGATTCTGCAACACCAGCTGGCCAGTCTCTACACTCACGACCTAAAGTGATTAGAACCCTACACAAGTCTGAAACTTGTTCGGACACCTTGACCTACTCCTCTCCACGCTCAGATTTATCAAGCCTGCACCCATGTCCAATTGTGTCTTCAGCTTGTGCCATCCAAGACCTTCCTATTTTTAGTCTGTGACCCTAAGCTCTACCCAGGGCTTCATGCAGGAGGTGCTTTTTGTACACAGTTACTCTGAGATATGACTTTGCCTGCAGAACTTTGAGCCTATCTGCAATGGTAGGCAGTGCAAGTATGTATCACATGCATACTACTGGTGTATCTCTTGTACATCCTAGAATTACCTGCATGGCTTCATTCTGTATGCATTCGAGTTTCATCAGCTGACCCTTTGATTTGGTAAACATTCAAAGTCCATAATCTATCACGGACAGGAATACATTCTGTAACATTGTGAACAGCATTCTGTGTTCCATGTCCATTGCACTGGAAATTATTGTGGTGACTGGAAAGATCACTAGTAGAAGAGGTAGACTGTTTAACCTGGCAGTTTAACCTGAGAAAAGTATAACTAGAAAGTCTTTACAATTTAACCCACAGGTGCACCCAAATTAAGGCTAACCCAAAAATACATTGAGAAGAGAGCTAGAGAGTGGAATTGAAAAAAGATGAAGAGGGACATGGAGCAAGCTACATGTTATGACAAATAATAAGACAACTTGGAACATGTTGGTTGGGAGCCTAGACTACACTGGGGAAAAAATGGCATCATCATCACCAAGTGCCTTGCCAGCTGGCATTCATATATCTCTACAGATCTGGGTCTTTAGTGTTCTGGATCAATTCCACTGATGATATTCCTTCATGCCACTGTCACCATAATTTCTCTTGGTCTGCCTCTTCTACCAGTAATCATTCCTGTCATCACAATATTTCCAGTGCTCTTTTTTTCATCACATGACCAGAGAACTCGGTCGCCTTCTCATTGTTGTATATAATGTTCTACTTTCATTAGCCATTTCCAGGCAATCATTGTTAGTTATTCTGGCAGTCCAAGGTGTTTGCAACATTCTTCTCAAGAACCACATCTCAGTGAATAAAGGGCAGAAAAGGAGAAGTCAGCCGATGTGCTTTTGACCACATCTCAGTGAATAAAGGGCAGAAAAGGAGAAGTCAGTCGATGTGCTTTTGACCACATCTCAGTGAATAATGGGCAGAAAAGGAGAAGTCAGTCGATGTGCTTTTGACCACATCTCAGTGAATAAAGGGCAGA